CACGGGGAGAACATGAAAACTCCACTCAGAAAGGCCCTGGTCCGGCCGGGATTCGAACCCAGGACCTTCTTGCTGAGAGGCGAGAGTGCTATCCACTCAGCCATCGTGCCGCCCAACCCATAATAATTATGAAGTTGATGTTTACAAATGAATCTGTTTTATCCATGTATGTATCAGGTGCTGATCACGTCTCACAATCCTAACTATCAAAAGGGCTCAAGAGCGTTCTTTGGTTTCTTTATGTCTCATTTGCCTTATCTGGTGTGTCCAGTCATGCTCTTTTGTGCTCGGACAGGTGGAGTCTTTGTTGAAGAGACAAAGCTGTGACTCAGACACACACATGCACCCACGCATGCTCCTGGGCTTTGTGGGGACTCGACGTCAACTCACACTCACTCCTATGGAGGAAACCGTCAAAGTAATAAATTAACGAGCAAATACATAAATGTCACAATCTGCCAATTATTATTACAATAATACTTCAAATTGTGCAAATGAATGAATACATATTATTATAATTAGGACGGGTCACAGCAGCAGAGGTGGAGTTGCCTCTGGGTGGAGCAGGGCGGGTCACAGCAGCAGAGGTGGAGTAGCCTCTAGGTGGAGCAGGACGGGTCACAAGGTGGAGTAGCCGCTTGGTTCTGACCATTTTCTTTGCTCTAGTCCAAAGTAAAATGCTAAATACTTCATTAGCATTTTTCAAAAAGTTAGCATTTCTCCAGTGGATTTTCATCTGATCCGCTTGGTTCGGTTCGGACCATGAATCCTCTCTGCTCCTGGACCAGTGTAAAACCATGAACACTGTACTGCAGCAACATCTCAGGTTGAAAAAGGCAAGAAAAATTTAAATGATAAAGCACAAAACAACAATTGTTTCAGAGCTACTTAGGACTTGCAGCCATTTTCCAGCGCATTCAAAAGTCACTTTAGTTGAGGTGTGCTTCTCATGGTTCCACATGACACACTGTCAATTTGTCAAAGCCTCTCATCTATTGATATGTGACATCACAAAGTCTTTGCAGTTTGGCTCTGGGCCCACTGCCCCACTGCCCCTCACCCCTGAGCAGTGTGTCTGTGCACTGTGCTGTATAGACGTACTGTATGTGAGTAGGAAGGCTCTCATTAGCACATCAGCGTCTCTCTGTGTATGCGTGGGGTGATTCCACAGCTTCCATTGTTCTGGATTCTCAAGCTGTGGTGAGTGTGACACTGAGAGTACACAACTCTTCTGGTGGTAATGAAGTAAAGTAATAAATACAAAGATGTATTGTAAAAACTTAAAATGTACAGTGTGTATGTAAGATGATTGACTCTACTCTGTAATTACAACTTTAGCTTCATTGGATGTACACTTACACAATACAAACTATCAATGTATTTCGTTTAAACTCCCAAGAACAACTCATTTGTCATAGTTCTATATTTGTCAAGAAATTTTCCTTGTAAAACATAGTAAAAAATAAATAAATAAAGTCTGTAAGTTTTGAAATGGCAACCCCCATCATCTAACCAAAGTGCTGCCACAAAATGTCCAAGTTATGTCTATGTATTCACTGATAACTGAGTGTTAAATGGTCTGGAGTGGAGGATGCAGTCGTTGCGTGCGTCTTCGATGGTGATAGACTTATAGACATTCTAAAGATGCATTATTTAGGGCTTTGCAGTAAACAGATGTGCAGTGAATATTTCCACATGCATTAAAACGGCTTTAAATAGGATGCATTTAGCCAAGTGATTCTGCAGCATTCTGTGGACAGACTGCAGGACCTGAGCAGGACCTAAGCAGGATCTGAGCAGGACCTGAGCAGGACCTGAGCAGGACTTGAGCAGGACCTGGGCAGGACCTGAGCAGGATCTGAGCAGGACCTGAGCAGGACCTGAGCAGGATCTGAGCAGGATCTGAGCAGGACTTGAGCAGGACCTGAGCAGGACTTGAGCAGGACCTGAACAGGACCTGAACAGGACCTGAGCAGGACCTGAGCAGGACTTGAGCAGGACCTGAACAGGACCTGAACAGGACCTGAGCAGGACCTGAGCAGGACTTGAGCAGGACCTGAGCAGGACCTGAGCAGGACCTGAGCAGGATCTGAGCAGGATCTGAGCAGGACTTGAGCAGGACCTGAGCAGGACTTGAGCAGGACCTGAACAGGACCTGAACAGGACCTGAGCAGGACCTGAGCAGGACTTGAGCAGGACCTGAACAGGACCTGAACAGGACCTGAGCAGGACCTGAGCAGAGTGGCAGGCGGCATGGAGAGTTACATCTTTTACTCCTTGACGCCAGCAATATTTTCCACGTTGAATTTTGTTTTTACTTGAATAGTGATTTTTACTTTATTTGTCATGGATTAACTTGGGCTGAAAATATGTCATTGTGACGATGATGTTCCACTCACTCCTCTTTGGTCCAGTGGACCTCAGAGCACCACTTGGGTTCAATTCCACCTCCATATGGGTTTCTGTGTGAAGTTTGCATGTTCTCCCTGTGTCGTGTTGGTAAAATCCTTTGAAAAAGTATTCTTTCACAGAATACCGCATACATTACCTAAAATGTATTTTTTTCTAGTATTCCTTTACTTTGGGAAAAATAGTAACTGTATTCTGAATACTTAAAATACATTTATTGCATCATTGCCTTTTAGGACTTTCCTCACAAACAAATAAATCCTCTAGAAATATAACATATATACAAACACACATTCACACGTGCGCGCGCACACACACACACACAGCAGGCTCAGTAGAAAGCTACATTTAGCTAGGGTTTTCAGATTTTCAGAAAGTAACTACATTATAAATACTAGATGTTAAAGTAGTAACTGTAACGGATTACAGTTAGTCAAAAAGAGTATTCATGTACTCTGTTACTGCACTGGTTATAAGATGTTGGGCATGAGATGGTTGGAGCACACATGCGGCGCATGAGAAGCTGTAAACTAAAGCATGCAGAAAAGTGACGCGCCCGAGGAACCACTGTTTTCTCCTCGTTACCCAGAAGGAGGAGCACGGTCTGGGATCGATGTGCTCCGTCTGCCCCATGGTCTGCCCTCTCGGTTGATCATCGTGGAGCCCGGCGCTCTCATAAATCACACTGAAGCTGACGCTGATCCCGAGCCTCTGCTCCACTCATTACTGCCCTCGCTCTCGGTATAAATAAACAAATGGGCCCCGTGCTCTCCAGGGGCCAGGGCCATTAGGGCCTCTTCCACGACGGACGATTTGTTCAACAGCAGGTCTGTTGGCTAGAGAAGACATGATGGGATGTTGGGAATTTTTACGCTTTTATTTGTTGATCCGCCGCAGCGCGGCTCAGTCCAAGACAAGAACAAACGTCTTGCTCCAAATGTGATGCTTCGAAGACACGCTGCAAAACTGCAGTTTTATTTTTTATGAATGTATTTATTTACATAAGTTTTGATTTCACCGGGTTAACTACTACTGGCTTGGTTTGTTGAATTCTATTTCTTATTCACATAATATGATATCAATGTATAACATTCATCTTTTTATTTTCTTAATTATAAGTAAAACATGGCAATAGTTTAATAAGTCTACTGTAACACGACTCATTTAATTCACGTCAATTACATCACAGTCTGTCATCACAGTCTGTCCCGTGTTCAACACAGTCTGTCCCGTGTCCAACACAGTCTGTCCCGTGTCCAACACAGTCTGTCCCGTGTCCAACACAGTATGTCCCGTGTCCATCACAGTCTGTCCCGTGTCCAACACAGTCTGTCCCGTGTCCGTCACAGTCTGTCCCGTGTCCAACACAGTCTGTCCCGTGTCCGTCACAGTCTGTCCCGTGTCCAACACAGTCTGTCCCGTGTCCGTCACAGTCTGTCCCGTGTCCAACACAGTCTGTCCCGTGTCCAACACAGTCTGTCCCGTGTCCATCACAGTCTGTCCTGTGTCCATCTGCCTTGTGAACTGATACATTCTGTGTTGGCTTTCCTCCCCTTCAGTCCCTGAGAGTCCTCCTCCCATCTGGACAGGGCTTCATCCAAGCTGGCTGCTGGCTCACTGGTTTCCACTCCTCCAGAATAAGAAGCCTGGTTTACCAAAGTCCTTTATATCACTCACCACTGGCCATTCCTCTACCCTCTGCTCTCTTGGACCTCCAGACTCTTCTTCTCTTCCAGTTGTGCTGCTCTTTTTTACTTCAGCAAATTGTGACATCATAGCAGTCTGTTCCATGTCTATCACAGTCTTTCCAATATTTGTCACAAAACTGAAGACAAGAGTGCACATTTTATTTAGTAGAAAGAAAATTCCTGATCAACATATCAACCTCCTACTACACTAACTTTTTAATATCTATAACCCCTGCACAATATGATTAACATAGTAACTGAATCTGTATGAGAACCATTAGGACCTTTGTGAAGCTGAAGCACTGTAGTTTTGGCTTCTGATGACTCAATTACTCCAATTGAAGCTTAAGCTCAAATTGATAGACCGGCTACGTCATTACACCGGGCCCTCGCCTCCTTCAGCCTCACTTCAGCTTCATCAACTTCCTGCAGCCGCTAATCAAGCCAGTGTTTAAAAGCTGGACACCACAGACCAAACAACCTTTTCAAGCCGCAACCACCTCCGCCTCAGGATTTCTTCACACACTCACATCCACCTTGCCCTGTTGCCACCAGTGTCTAGGCCCCCTGGTCTGCATCAAGCACAAATCCTCCTGTGCGCCACACTAATAAACTACAAACAAAACTTGCAATCAATACATCTTTATATGCATCTTGTCTCTTGTAGTCTCTCCAGATTGAATTATACATGCCATATATGCACGGAGAAAGATCAAACTCCAAAGACCATTTCCATATCCCATAGTGCATATAAAGAAGAGTACTGAGGCTGGAGTCTGGGGATAGGATAGGACTGTAGAAAGACCACATTTAGGGTTTCTGTCATGGTGTGGACTTTTTAGATTATTTTAACCTGGGTTTATTTTACTTTAGTTTGATTCTTGTCTGTCATGTTGATTTTTAGCCCCGCCCTGATGTGTGCCTCTGTGTCTATATGTACCCTGTGCTTCTCTCCCCTGGTTGCTGGTCCATTGTATTGTCATCGTCCTGTATTGTCTCCGTATTATCCTGGTTCCTGAGTTCTTCTTTGGATTTTTAATTTGTTTTACCCTGAACTATTAATTATTATCATAATTAAATCTTTACTTTTTGGCATTCCTGCATTTTGGGTCCTTCATGCACTTCACCTCTGCAGGCCCAGTCCCAGTTGCCTGACAGAGAAAAAGAGAGCTCTCATGACTTGGAGCAGAAAAAGAAAACAAAAAAAGAACGTTCAAGCGAGTTCTGACCAAGTGATGAATCGCTCCGAGTTGGGATGTTGACTGTCGAGCGTTGCGAAGCGTTTAGTGACAAGCTTAGCTGCTTTGTGGATGATACACTTGGACTTGGAAATGGACTTGTTATTATAGATTATGCAATGAAACAGCAAAAAGAAAATTTGTCAAAAATTAGTTTGATTAGTTTAATGCTGGATACAGTTGGTGGGAAAAAGGTAGTTATGTTTGCTGTGTCACAGTTATTACCTAGTTTAGTATATTTAGTGTCAAATGCAAATGTCATAGTTAGTCACCAGCACATATGCACCAATCGTCTACCAATGCAAGAAGAATGATGTTGAGCGATTACTGCAATTGGTGAAACATGAGCGGAGATGGCCTCACGTCTGCTGCAGTCTTGTAAATGTAAAAATTTATAATGTAAACGTCCTCTGCATTTGACCCATTCTGATACCACTAAGGCTTACGTCAGGAGCAGTGGTCGCCGTAGTAACAGCGCCCGGGAACCCATCTCCAGATGTTGATGCTTGGTTTGGTCAGGACCACAGGGGCTGGAGGATTTTACCTATTGAGCATATTTTTAGTGGTAGTGGGGAAACTGGCGCACCTGGAGGGAACATATGCAGACACAGGGAGAACATGCAAACTCAAATCAGAAAAGCCCTGTTCCGACCGGGATTCCAACCTAGGAGCCACTGTGCCGTCTTGTTGGATCCGTGATATACAACCTACAAGCTTCGGTCTGTTTAATAATGTAACCGCCATAATCTTACCTTCATCCCAACCCTAAAAACAAGCAAATTAACTGTTCCTAACCCAAACTTTGACACCTGATTGTGGTTCTTAATCACTAATTCTAAAAGAGAAATACCAAGAAAATTCAAAAAATGTTTCTCTGACCAGGGGGGAATACTGTGAGTACTGTCCCGCTGTGAGTCCCACGAAAACTATAAACGTTTTGCATGATGGAACCTCATAAACCATTTTGGATGATTTACCTCCATAAAACATGCTGTTATTGTGCACAGTGTGTTCCTGAGCGGATCCTGTCCTCCTCCACATGTAATGAGCTCCGTCATTAGTCTAAGTGCTGAACGACGAGCTCACCCCATGAAAGAATATTTAAAACCTCCTGCATGAAGTCTGCTTTCAGAACGCTCCCATTCAAGTACATTTGAGAACGGTACGATTGCAGCTATTGTAGATCTTTGACTGCAGAAGTGTGTTAGAAGAAAATGGGGATGAAAAGATGACCATTATGCAGTTTTTTTTTAACCATGTCACAACGTTGTGTTCTAATAAGGAAAGATCCATGGAAACAGAAATCCATTTTGTGTGGTCTAACAAAGAACATATAAGGCAGGAGTTGCAAAAGGTTCCGATTCACTTATCTCCCATTTGCCGTAAAAACCACATTGGAATATAATTGCAAAAGTCCCCAGTGTGCACAAGACAATTACCTAAAAAAAACCCTAACCCTAACAATAACAAAAATCTACAAAATTTTTCTACAGCAAGAGAAACTTAAATCACCAAACAATTCAAACAAAAACATTCCTCACTCTTAATCTGGAAAAACTGCTTCAAGGGTTATTTTTTTTTTTACAACATGCCTCATTAGCTCCCCATCCCTTCTGTCTGAATGTCCCTCTTTCAAACTTAATCCTCAGACACACAGGGAAACTTGCCAGTGCTCATTTGGCTCTTAATGATGGCACTACAGTGGACATACAGGGTTTTGTACCTTTGATAGCACCATTGAACAGTTTTAAAAAGCCAGGGTCTCTTCATACAGGACAGACAAGGAGTGTAAATGAAACTGGCAAAACTCTTGCGGGGTGAGAGGCGGCCAGGTCTCCCTAAAGATATTGAATCAGAATCAGAAATCTTTCATGTAACTGCAGTAAAATGTGCTGTGCCTCTCGCAGCTCCTCTTCTTGAAGCCCAATACAAAAAGCCTTTCTTTTTCTTAAGCAGCAACCTCAGGAGGAGCATCACTTTGTATTTCATGAGTTATAAATTAGTGCCTGCATCATTCAGAGAGATCAGAGCGCTAGTGGGCAGTAAACAGATGCATACTGTGGCAACCCAGAGACGGGCTGCAGTGTGGGGGTTTGTACTGCATGGAAGCTACATCGCACTCTGGTTGTAGCATTTTTAGCTAGAAAGATAGATAGATACTTTATTGATCCCGTAGGAGAAATTCAGGTGTCCAGCATCCATATAAACAAAAGTACATAAATTATAAGCATTTCTAAATAACTACCTAACAACAGTGCATATTTGTAACTCATCCAGGTCTGTAGTACAGTCTGACAGCCGATCTCTTGAAAAGTTCCGTTTGGCAGCGCAGTGATAGAAGCCTGTTGCTACGGTTACTCCTCTGAGCGGCCATAGTGTCATGTGGAGGGTGTCTGGGGTCATCCTGCTCTCAGCACAGCTCCCACAGAGTCCACACTTCTCCCTATAACAGAGACACATTTCCTGATCAGCCTGTCGAGCCATTGACACTCTCCCGAGGTATTGGTCAAGGTTTAAAGCATACTTTGAAATCAGACCCTGACCAAGATTCTTGAGTCTGATTTCAAAGTACGCTTTAAACCCTGAACCGTAGGCAACTGTTTACTGCACTTTAACGCTCTGATCTCTCTGAATGATGCAGACACTCATTTTATGACTCATGAAATACAAAGCACTGCTCCTAACCAGCATGCTCTGAGCAGCAGGCCGAGGTGCTGAAGGGTGGGCTCTCCCTCACTTAAAATACTCTTTGGGAAAATGGGAGCCGTAGAGTGCTCACGGTTTTAGATTTGGCAGCCAAAATCCATAGTTTTCCTCCTGCTCCTGACTCGACTGTGTCAGTTGTGCACTTGTGATTGATTGACGGCATAAATGTTCCCGCAGAAACATTTCAATAAATACCTAATCTCTTGTTTTTTAACTTTTAGTCTCAAGAGCAAGCGGACAAAAATACTCAAATTTGTACTAGCTACCAGTTGCTATGTGATTACTTTTATAGCTACAAAATCTCACAAGTTCCACTCCAGGTCAGATTCTCTCCTCTTGCATAGAAGAATAGACCTGAATGTGAACCTCAATCACTGCCACTGCCGGCTGTCTCATTTATGACACGGGAATGCAACATGAACTGGCCTGTAAACAGCAGCACCGTGTATTTTTAAACACGGTGTTGTGGGCTGAAGACACGGCCGGTCCCTCCCACTCAGCACGCCTACGAGCCCTGGCACAGGCACCACAAGACCAAAGCAGTAAGAACACAGGAGCTGAGCAAAAGCAGAGATGGAGAGACTCGTGTTACCATGCCAACGCCGCCAACAATGCATTTCAATCAAAAACGTGGCAACAGTGATTTTAGATTTCAGACAAAAGGGGCAGTGTGGTAATTGGTCACTTAAAATGGAAAATGTCAATGTATAAGAAAATGAAGAGTATTGAAAGATGCAAGTCTGGAAAAAAACTTTTGACATTAACCCTGTAGAACCCAGACATAAAAATACTAGTCTAATACTAAAAAAGATATCTGCTTTTTTTGGAAAGCAGATTACAATGACCAAATTTGGCAATGTAGCATATTTGCTTCTTTGGGTTCCTCGGTACATACATTAGTTAATGCATTAAATCATAAAGTCATGCTTCTTTTGCCTTAACCGTCAAACTTTTTGTTGCATATTTGTAGCCTAGCTAATGACGTAGCTGTTAACTACTGCATCATAAATATAAGAAAAGTAAAAGAGAGTGGCTTTTAAAATGATATAATTGCCCTTTTGTGTTTTCTAAATCGAAAAAAAGGGACACAACAACTGTAGTACCTGGAGTAACCAGAGGTGTCCCATCCCAGTACTAACCAGGCCCTGCCCTGCTTAGCTTCTGAGATGGGACAGGATAAGCTTTTCACATAATAAACCAACCAAATAAAGCCATCTATTGTACTGTATAATGATTATCCAAACACAATGTCCTGTAAGTGCGCTGCAGCCTGGAAATTTCCCCACTGTGATTAATATTGCGGGAGTGATTGGACAGTCACTCTCGCTTCTCAGCAAGAAGGTCCCGGGTTCCTATCCCGGTCGGAACAGGGCTTTTCTGAGTGGAGTTCGCATATTCTCCCCGTGTCTGCGTATATTTCCTCCGGGTGCTCCAGTTTCCCATACCACTAAAACCATGCACAATAGGCCTGACTGCAAATGAGAGAGTGAAGGGATGGTGTTTGGTCAGAGGCTTTGATGGACCAGTGTGCGGCTGAACATAACTTTATATTGTATCCACTGGTTTACTACTTTCAGATTCATCCTTGAGGGCTTTCCAGATGAGGCACGAGCATCAGAAATATTAGGAGCAGTGTGTCGCAAAACTGTTTTTAGGCAAGGTTTAATTGTATAGCGCAGTTCAAGTGCATAATACACCTTGAACTTGTGCATACTGCATGTTACAACCACAAACACAGATTTATTATCACTGAAAGACAACAAAAAACGTGAAGTGAAAGCAAAACAGTAAGTGTTTTTATTTTATTTTACAAAAAAAAAATGATGTGTGGGGTTTGCATAAATAATTATACCATTCCTCCGAGAGAACGAAAAAGCTTTTGGAAAAGTCCTCATGATTTTGAATTCCTCAGCATCCATCATTGGAAGTTTTTAAGTCTAAAGATACATTTTTACGCCTTGGCTTTTAACACCAATTGAGGTTTACCATTTTACTTTTACTTGTAGCTGAATGTATTTTATGCTGTTTTCTTTTATTTTTATCTTTCGTGCCTGTGAAGTACTTTGGAAAGCTGGTGTTGTTGTAAATGTTCTATACAGATGAAGGTGACACTGACATTGACATTAGCGATTAACAGAGCCCATCTGTGTGTATTCTGCTCTCAGTAAAATGACAGCTGTTCTGTGAGGACCTGAGTTTAGAGAGTCACTAAACAGCATCATGCAGTCCAAGGAACACATCAGAGATTTCCGAGGTGAAGTTCTGGTGAATATTAGCAGCTTATAGTTATACAAATGTTTCACAAACTTTGAACATCTCACAGAGCACTGGTCTTACCATTTATCTCCGTCCTGGGGGAATTTGTGCATGGGTCAAATATGAATCCTACACTGCACAAAACTGGCCGTTATGGACTAATGGTAAATACAAAGCCAGTGTTGAAGATACTGAGGTGAGATGAGACCTAAAAAATGTGTAGCTTGAACATATTCTGCTGTCTCCCTCAGTGTACAATCACAAAGTGTCAAATATGGGGGTGGCAGCATCATTTTATCTTGGAAGAAAAACTGCCGTCAGCAAAAGACTTTAGATTTCCGTCCAATTTTGTTGATAGTATGACCATGTGTTTTCTCTGCTCATTTGGTCATACAATTAAATCAAATCTGTACTCTCATCATTTGAACAACTCATGTCAAGTGTTGTGTTAGCCAATCTCAATATAAACATTGGTACAAAAAGACATTAGTTAACTTACACCTCTCTTTATTTGAAAAAAATCAGTAATTAAGAATGGCATCGAAAACTTAGTGTCTTGGCCGTGCCTTTTGCAGCAACCTCCCACACACTGAATGTGGACTGCAGCACACTGTGTTTCTCTTAGAGCTGAGATGGAGATCAGATTTTCCAATTCTACCTGTGGACTGGGACACACACAAATCTGTTCCTTGGACTTTCTCCCTAGGACTTATTTAACACCACATGGGAACCGTTTATAAATATATGTAAAGAATTGTATGTAATATAATTTAAGTTGTCTGTGTTTTTTTTAGCATGAAACAAAAACTAACCACTGGGGCTCTGGAGTTGCTGCACACTTATATGTGATGTACATAACACCATATTATGCATATCTTGCAGTTAATATTTTTAGTAGAATATACTGTGACGTTAGCATCACAGCTATAGATGCCTGATTACCCAAAGGTTTAGATTTCTTAGTTTTCCTCTTGGCTCCAGAGGCTGCTCATGTGGGACATTACTAATGATAACTACACAATAAACAATGGATTTGGAAGTAAACTGCAAACATTTAAATTGTATTTCCTTGTAGTTCTCCTGCAGCGCCTCACCATACTGTCTGATAGTGTAAGAATAAATGTTGGCTCCACAGCTTTCTGCACCAGTCAGCCTCAGAGCCTGGTGTAGAATTCTAATGACTACAACTGGAAGAGAAAAGTTTCTGCCTCACATTAACTTACTTTTTTCATTTTCATATTCATTTTATTTCCACCAGAGTGTCTTGAAAAAGCAACTTTTTTTAGGAAACACTATTCAACATCAGTTGTGCCCCTTCATCCTCAGAATAGTTTCTTTGGAATTTTGTTTTTTAAATTATAAAAAATGACAAATAAAAACAAAGAACCTTGAAACAAAGATGGAGACACAAAATGACAAATGTTTATTTTCATTAGCAAAAATAATGCATCATATTTCTTTTTTTCCACAGGAGGGAAATCACCTGTTACCATGGCAACACAAATATGTGGCCTCGATTACCCAAACTGTTTTGTTTTTGTAAAACACAAAACTAAATATATGATAAATTTCATTCCATTTCCAGCATCACTTCTCAGCTCTATGTCAACACAAAAACTATGACGTCATTTGGATTTCACTCTTTGTCAGCGACACCAGAGACCGTCCGGCGAGCGTTGGCGGCGTGGCACACGTGACCATCTCAGGCAAAAAGACTTTGCTCTTGTTTTTGTTAATCCACGACCACAGATACTCAATCTTTCCGTCACAGGACCATGGATTCCCTGTGAGGTCTAATCCATCTTCGTCCAGAGAAACCAGTGAATCCAACAGACCTGGGGCCACGCTTCGCAACTGGTTTTCCTCCAAGTTCACATGCTGAAGACGCGTCAGATTCTGAAACAAGCCTGTCGGAAGCTTCTGAAGTTTATTCCGAGATAGAAAAAGATGTGTCAAGTTTAGATTTTCACGAAAAATCTCTGAATCTATTGCGCTTATCTTGTTATTGTTCAAGTTGAGACGTTCCAATTTGCCCAGCCCATCAAAGGACGTCGCCGCAATCATCTCCAGTCGGTTGTTCGGAAGATCGAGATTGTCAAGATTTGGGAGTTTATGCAACAAACCAGCTGGGACTTTGGTCAAACGATTCCCAGACAAGTCCAGCCACGTCAACGTACTATTTTCTAACAACCAATCTTCACCGGCAATTTCGATTTGATTATTTTTCAAAACCAAGCATTCAAGAGGTGCGTGGCTGAAGACGTCAGCGGGTAAATGTGTGAGTTTGTTGTCGGTGAGGTCGATACAGCGGAGTTTGGGAAGTCCGCGGAGGAGATGGGGCGCCAGGACTCTGATTTTATTGCTGAAAAGGTGAAGCTCCCGGAGATGTGGCGTACCATTGAGGTGGGACTCCGTAAGTGTTGAAATGTTGGTGAACTGGATGGTCAGATAGCTGGCGTTACTGGGCAGGGAATCTGACGGGAAGGACTCAAAGGGGGCAGAGTCACAGACCACCTCGGCTCGGCGGGAGAAGCATCGGCAATGGTTGGGACAAGACCAGGCCAGGGGGAGCCAGAGAAGAAGACAAAGGAGGCGAATGGACGTCACTGGGAGAAAAGAGACAATATAAATGTGTGTACTTTGGTGACTAAGATCTTATTTCAAGGTGGTTCAAGTTTGTTACATTAGATCCCTAAAAGGGCAAACAAATGAAGGCATGTAATTCATTCATTCATCCAGAAACCATACAGTATAAAGTTTGTGTAAGCCCTCAGTCGTACAGGGATTAGTCAAAGCAAAGGAAGGTTTCTCACCCATCATCTGTACTTCTTAGCAGGTTTTCCCGACGTTTTGTCCTCAATCCAAAGGACTTCTTCAGGGAATGAATTCTCAGACCGCGCGATGGAGATTTATAACCTATGGGTGTGGTTAGCCACACCCTAATCCTGATACTAACTCATAAACAATCTAAGGGGAGCAGGTCTAACGACCCTGCTTTCGTTCGTTAGACCTGCTCCCTTCTACATCAAGCAGACCTTAGATTGTTTATGAGTTAGTATCAGGATTAGGGTGTGGCTAACCACACCCATAGGTTATAAATCTCCAACGCTCGGTCTGAGAATTCATTCCCTGAAGAAGTCCTTTGGATTGAGGACGAAACGTCGGGAAAACCTGCTAAGAAGTACAGATGATGGGTGAGAAACCATACAGTATAAAGATTAACCATTTCATGAGCATAGCATTTGGGGCGACAGTTGCTCAGTTGGAAGAGCATTGGACTTTGACAGAGAAGGTTGTGATTTCGAGTCCACCGCAAGACCTACTTCACAACTCCCACTGACGTCTGCTGTCGTTGTCCTTGGGAAAGATACTTAACCCAACTTCGCCTGAAGCCCCCGCTGAAAGGTTAAGCTATGTGAATCGGGTGCAACTCTGACTGCCACCCCCCTGACCAAGCAATGGATTAAGGGGAAGAAAATGGATGGATCAGTTCAAACCCCTCCCATATAGCTTTAAGTTTTCTTTTTCTTTTTCCACTAACCTGCCTGGAGAGGAGACTTCAGATGTAAAGGAGCATCTATGCTATAACCTATGGAGGACCAAAAATGACTAAAGTATAAATAAATAAATAAATACAGGAATATATTAATAAATACATTCATTTTGGACAATAAAAACTAAATATTTACATTGATGTGTTAAATATTACTATGAAATCAAATAAATATACTTTTATTTAGGTTATTTATCAAAGTCTACATTTTTTCCTTTATTTATTTATCCATTTATTGCATATATTTAATTATGTATTTCTACATTTCTTCATTTATTTATTTATGTATTTCTACATTTCTTCATTTATTTATTTATTTATTTATGTATTTCTGTGTCGCTACATTTCTTCATTTATTTATTTATGTATTTCTACATTTCTTCATTTATTTATTTATGTATTTCTGTGTTGCCGTATGCTAATTAGGCGGGCGGTGCTGAACTCAATCTAGAACAGGATTGGTGGGCAGTAGGTCAGCCAGGGCAACCAGACAGAAGCAAAGTTAAGCCTAGCGTACATCGACAGAGAAACTGGAGACAAGTTGCAAGGCGGCTTTTGGCAACTGAGGACTGAGAGGAGATGATGGAGATGATCAGTTGCCAAAATCGGTCGATGTGCGCGCTCTTACAACTGGAGATGAACAGTCGGTCTCCAGTTTCAGTCAGTTGCCCGTGTTCTACTTTTCGGCAACTAGTTGTCCTCAGTTTCGGAGATATGACCCGATGTGCGCGCTCCATGCGCCGCTCCGACAACGTGCGTGTGTATTGCGTGTGTTGCGAGCCCGCAACAGTTTATGTCAGAAAACACACTGTAGTTGAGGCCAGTTGCTGTCGATGTACGCGCTGTTATTCCCGAGACTGGTCTGCTACTGGGAGTTGCCCGTTTTCGTCAGATTGTCGATGTGTGCGGGGCAGCAACTCATATGCGACGGATATAATCAGTTGCCAGTCCGATGTACGCTTGGCTTTAGCCTTCTCGGTTTGTGAGAGGATGTGAAGCTGCTGTATAGCTTGTTGAAGAGCGTCCAGCACAGTTGCATCAAAGTCTACCTCTGGGTCAGCACTGTGATGAACTAAAACATTTAATAGTCTTTCCAGCCGAAAGAGTAGATAGTCCTCAGGTGCATTATGCTCAACATCATTTGCTAATGCTCTTAATTGATGAGCAATGGCTCCTAAAAAACTTAAATTCGAAACTGCCATCATACCACACAAAAGTGCACAGAGGATCTCTAGCTAGCTAACAGAGTACCGTAATGTGAGGCAGGAATGATCGAGACCAGAGTTCACGCAATCCTAACCAATCCTGTTCTAGATTGAGTTCAGCACCGCCCACCTACATACAGGAACACAGAAATACATAAATAAATAAAAGAAATAGCATGTAGAAATACATAAATAGGAACACAGAAATACATAATAAATAAATAAATGAATAAAAAGAAATAAATAAAAGTAGCAATATTTAGCATATCAATGTAAATATTTAGTTTTTATTGTCCAAAATGAATGTATTTATTAATATACTCCTGCATTTATTTATTTATTTATACTTTAGTCATTTTTGGTCCTCCATAAATGACCTCCTCCATCATCAGCTGTCCCTCCCTCCGACTCACTCCCTCAGGATTCTAAACCTGAACCTTGGGGACCGAGCATCGCCTGCAGCTGCCCCCACGCTCTGGAACTCACGTCCCCTTCATAACCGTCAGAACCTCAGACTCATTACAGAACTTTAAATCTCATCCTTAAAACCACCCTGTTGTTCAGCCTTCCTTCTTTTTTTTTTTCCAAAGTTTATTTCTATATGTTTTGTAACAGAGTCTTTGAGTGTCCAAAAAAGCGTTATATAAGTTTGATCATTATGTATATTATAAAGTGTTCAGAATTTCACCCTGAAACCAGAGCAGAGAAAAATGGTCTGAACCAAGTCAGATTTCTGCAGACATCACCCAGAGAAAGCCTCCACTCCACAGCAAACCAACCAGAGAGACCAGAGAGAGAAGACCAAAGAGAGAGAGAGACCAATAGCATAGAGGTCCAGAGAGAGAGAGGAGGGACCAGAAGAGAGAGAGACCAGAGAGAGAGAGAGACCATAAGAGAGGGTCCAGAGAGAGAGACCGAGGAGAGAGAGACCTGAGAGAGAGCCATAGAGATGACAGAGAGAGAGAGCCAGATAGAGAGACCGGGAAGAGAGACCAGAGAGAGAGACCGTAAGGAGATGAAGGACCTAGGAGAGAGGGACCAGAGAGGGACCGGAGAGAGAGAGACCAAGAGAGGGACCAGAGAGAGACCAAGAGAGAGACAGAGTGAGAGAGACGAGAGAGAGACCAGAAGAGGGACTCAAGAGAGAGACCGAGAGGAGAGACCAGAGAGAGGCCAGAGAGAGAAGTGAGGACCAGAGAGAGAGAGACCAACAGAGAGAGAGAAGACCAGAAGAGGGACCAGAAGAGAGAGACCAAAGAGAGAGATAGACCAGAGAGAGACCACGAGAGAGAGACCAGAGAGAGGGACCAGAGAGAGGGACCAGAGAGAGGGACCAGGAGAGAGATATCCCAGAGAGAGACCCATAGAGATGGACCAAGAGAGAGCACCAGAAGTGAGACCAAGAGAGGGACCAGGAGAGAGAACTCAAGAGAGGGACCAGAGAGAGACTACCAGAGAGGGACCAAGAGAAGAGAGAGACCAGAGAGGGACCAGATGAGAGACCCAGAGAGACCAAGAGAGACCAGCAAGAGGTACCAGAGAGTGAAGACGCAGGGACCAGAGAGAGACCTGAGAGAGGGACCAAGAGAGGGACCAGAGAGAGACCAGAGAGGAGGACTCAGAGAGATAGACCTGAGAGAGGGACCAAGAGAGAGACCAGAGCGGACCAGGAGAGAGGACCAGAGAGACCAGAGAGAGAGAGAACACAAGGTGAGAGGGACCAGAGAGAGAGACCAGGGACAAGAGAGAGGACCAAGAGAGGGACCAGAGAGAGAGACCAGAGGAGTGGGACCAGAGAGAGAGACAAGGAGAGATGGATCCAAGAGAGAAAACCAGGGACAGAGAGAGACCAGAGAGGGACCAGAGAGAGAGACCAAGAGAGAGACCAGAGAGGGACCAGAGGAGGACCAGAGAGAGAGAGCAGGCTATTCACCCACCTGCTGCACTTTATTACTATATCAGTGACTTGTAGATGTTGAGTTCCTCGCTGCACAGGATCAAGAGTCTCTAAAGTGCTACATCTAGACATGAAATAAAGTCCAGCCTCAGAGTCTCACCGGGCCTTCCGCATGAGTCCCGCTAGAACCATTTAGAACCATAAGTTCCTCCGGTCCCCGTTAAGAACTCTGGTTAGAACCATAAGGACCGGGCTCATGTTTCAAAATTCCACTATTCAAGAAAAATAAACACAAACCAAAGTTGTTCACATTTATTGCAATTTATTTGGTTTTACAATCATACAGAAATGGACAGTATAAAAAACCAGACAGCGACGAGAGATTGAAGCCATAACGAAGCCATAACGAGCCATATACGAGCCATAATGAGCCATACGAGCCATAACGAGGATACATTCCTATGTCAGACTTTTTCGGTTGTCACGTTCGGGTGTTTGAAACCGAACAATCCAACGTTCACGACTCCAAACGAACCCGGGGGAACTGGATCAAACCGGTTCAGACTCAGAACACAGAACTGGATCAAACCCGGTTCAGACTCAAACCATAGAACTGGATCAAACCGTTCAGACTCAGGAACCGATAGAACTGGATCAAACTGGTTCAGACTCAGAACCATGAAACTCGGATCAAAACGGTTCAGAACTCAAACCATAGAACTGAATAAAACCGGTTCAAAGACTCAGAACTGGGGTTTTGGGTAAAAAGCCCAAAACACACTTCAGAACACTAAACTAAGTCCCACCAGCAGCCATCTCTGACTGCTCCCAACAAGCAATGTAATGCTAAGAAAACGTCATGAGTCATTACTCATGGAAGGAACGTCTCTATCGTCCAAGGTGCCTGGTTCCTGGTCGGTCCGGGCTGGTAAGATCCTGGTAAGATCATGGTAAGATCCTGGTAAGCTCCTGGTCTAGACTGGTGCCGAAGCTATTGCCATAGCAACACACTGATTACTGAAAGCACACAGCATTAGCCTTTCAACACAACAGTGTTTTTCTGTGTCTGTGATAATCAACCAGTTTTAACTCAGTGAGGAGAAAAAAAATAAGAACGGTTTTTAAACGTCCTCGTGGTTTGAATGGGAGCATCAGAGAGACTTTATGGGTAGCAGTCAGAGAAGACTTATGGAGCAGTCAGAGAGACTTTATGGAGCAGTCGAGAACTTATGGGAGCTGTTCAGAGAACTTATGGAGCAGTCAGAGAGAAGCTTATGGAGCAGTCAGAGAATACTTCGGTAGCAGTCAGAGAGACTTCTGGGAGCAGTCAAAGAACTAATGGGAGCAGTCAGGAGAGACTTCCTGGAGCAGTCAGAGAACTTATGGGAGCAGTCAGAGAGATTCTGGTAGCAGTCAGGAGAGACTCTGGGAGGAGTCAGTGAGACTTCTGGGAGCTCTCGTATATCGAGTGGTTAAAACATTCTATGTTTTTAATAACATGAATACATAAAATGTGTTATATCAGACTTAAACCCTGAGGGTTTCTCTCAACACATCTGACAGCTCTAATGCTGCAGACTGTCCTCATGAGGCCCCGGCGGCCCTCAGTGAGGCCCGTACAGCTTCAGAATCCTGTGAGAGGGAATATATACACAACTGTCAGTAACCGCGACACTGAGGGACATCCAGAGCATCTGCGCTGGGAGCGCGGTCCCCGAGAGGCCGGTCCCCGAGAGGCCGACCCCGAGAGGCCGGTCCCCCGAGAGGCCGGTCCCCGTGAGAGGGCCGGTCCCCGGAGAGGCCGTCCCGTAAGGCCGGTCCCCGTAGAGGCCGGATCCCCGGAGAGGCCGGACCCCGTAGGAGGCCGACCCCGTAGAGGCCGACCCCGTGAGGCCGGACCCCAGAGGCCGGAGCCCCTTAGAGGCCGGACCCCGTAGAGGCCCGGACCCCCCGGAGAGGCCCCGGACGCCCGGAGAGGCCGGACCCCGTAAGGCCGGACCCCAGAGAGGCCGGACCCCGAGAGTCGCCGGACCCAGATGCCAGTGGTTAAAAGGCGTGTCAGTTGTTAAGACTGAGCTTGAAGCCGGAGTCCGCAGGTTTTGTGTGGATGTAAAAAAGCCACATGCAGAAGTCAGAGAAAAACAGGAAAGGTTTTTCGTTGGAGCGACTTCTGAATCGGAACGCCCTGCCGATTCATGACATATGATGTAAGAATCAATGTGTTTTTTATCTAATGTTGGGCACATTCTGTCTCAAAACGCAGTTGTATATTTTTGAAAGAACAAAATCCTTTTTCTTTGTCCCCATCGAAGAATCTGTTTAAGGCGGAATGTGTCAGATTAAGATAAAACATGAGACACCTTCTGAAATACTGTGACTTGGTATGATTGCACAAAGATTCTTGTGAAAACATGAAGAAAAACTGGAATTGGACCTGATTCTGTCAAATACCAGCAACGAAACACCAAAAGGTTCGCAGTATCCTTGAGATTCCTGGTCCTGACCACTCCACGCTTAAAAATATTCATGGGTTTCAGGCTCATTTTAAGTTAAAAAACATCCACAGGACTGGTTTGACTGCTGTGTGTGGTGTGTGTAGAGAGAGAGTGGTGTGCACTGTTGTGTGTGTGAGTCTGTACATGTGTGTGTGGTGTGTGTGTGTGTTTGAGAGAAGTCTGTGTGGTGTGTGAGAGTCGGTATACTGTGTGTGTGTGTGTGTGGTGTGGGGGTGTGTGTGTGCGTGTGTGTGTGTGTGAGACGAGATCCTGTGTGATGTGTGTGAGAGGTCTGTATATGTTTGTGTGTGCTGTGTGAGAGAGTGTGTGCACGGTGTGTGTGTGTGGGGGGTGTGGTGTGAGAGAGTGTGTGCACGTGTAGTGTGTGTGTGTGGTGGGTGAGAGAGGTGTGTGTGTGTGTGTGGTGTGTGGGTGAAGCAAAGAGTCTGTGTGGGTGTGGAGAGTCGGTGTGTGTGTGTGGTGAGACCACAGCGCTGCTCCTGCTCCTTCAGGCCCAGCTCCAGGGCCTGTTCATGCTTCAGAGCTTCAGCCTGGGCTTTCCGCAACCGGGATGTGGCCTTGCGCTCGTGCTGCAGCTGCGCAGACGTCTCCTCCAGCTGTCACCCCCACAACATTCAGCAGCAGAAGAAACAACATCACAAATAAAATTAGCCAAGCTCATGGATCTATAATAATAACTGGATAGGGTTTTACTGGCTTACAGCTGTCCTACCCAGGGGCACAGGGGGCGCCCTTGGTACTGTAGACTAAATTCACATGTGCTACCCAGACATTTTCCCCATAGATCTCAATGTAAACTAAAACAGCTCGACCTCAGCTGACAGAGAACCTACAGCCTTCTTAAAGGTCAGATTTTGTGGGGATTTTAGTGTCCCTTGTCATCCTGATCTTTTTTTCTTCTAAAATCATTTGGTTTTCTTTAAATCCACACTTTACTGCCACAAACTCTGCCGTTTTCCTTCCCGCGCTGGCTCTGCTCTACCACCGCTCCGATCAGCAGCTCTGATTGGTCAAAGCGTGGGCGAGCCCCTCTGTGCACGTGCATGAGAGCCTCACACGTGTATTTTGCGCAAAAGCATCATGGGAGCTCGTCCACTGCGCAGAACCGGGAGGACCAGACGATGCCCAAATATAGGTGAGTTCAGCTAATCTCCCGGTCCCCGTGAAGTCCCATGCCCTACTGAGCACAAGCCATTCATTTGAATAGGGCGCCACCTTGGATCCCCGGGGCTTGGACGAGCTAAAGAGAGACTATTATGTACAGAGGCGTTGTCATTCAATTTATTCTTGTATAGCCCTGAATCACAGCAGTAGTTATCTCAGAAGACTTAACAAGACCGTTGAACACAGACTGCTGAAGTCAAAGGAAAACAATAATACAGGATCGTCTTTAAAGGAGATGTACTAAAAAGTATTCGTATTTTTGGAGATCAACATCGTTCACTTGGAGTTGTGCGTATAGAAAATGATTTACACTGAAAACTTACTCTAGGTTCATTCCAGATAAACCTGAACTTGCCACAAAACCTACAACCTCCAGAGCTCCTGACCTGTTTGTGCAGCTGCTGGTTCTTCTCGCTGGAGATCTGTGAGCTCTGGTTCCTCCTCCGCACTTCCTCCAGCTGGTCCCTCAAGTTATTCACTGAAGAAAAGAGATACAGGACAGATTAACAAAGAGAAAACAGTATTTATGATTAGGAGAGAAAAGGTAATCGTTTTGGATAGAACAGTGTGTAATTATGGACGGTTGTGCTGTTAGGGGCTAATTTCTTTCCAACGTCTCACAAACTGATTCATCTTACAATATTGCACATGATTTAATGACGGAGGAAAACTGAGAAGCCGGAAGGAAACAAACACAGACACAGCAAGAACATGCAAACACCACAGAACCCTTGTCTGGAGGTGGACCTGAACCCAGGACCTTTTTGCTGTGGAGCATGAGTGCTAACCGCTCTGCCATGGTGAGTCCAGTATGAGAAAATACATTACCACTTTTTATTCGTCAAAAAGACCCACTTCTGCCAAACGTGTACATATTGGGTTTGGCAGAGCACTTACAGCTGTTTGGTTCATCTGTTTGAATCAAAAAACCTTAATTCATTGATAATCAAATCAGTTGATGACTACTTCAATAATCAATAACTTTTTTACAGTAAAGTTAGTTTGAATAATAAGCATTTCGGCAAAAGGGGTGGGGGTTGGTTGTGTTAGAGGTTGGTTGTTTTTTTTTTCTTGGATCATGTTTTTTATGGATGAAAAGGCCAATTTAAACAAAAGCTGGTGATAGAGTGAAAGCTCACGTTCGTTCTCCAGCACTTGTTTGCGGTCTGTCTCCAGCTCGGCCTTCCTCAGCTGCTCCGTGCTCTGGTGCTGCAGTAGCGCCCTCTCCCGCTCCAGCTGCCGGAGTGATGCTTCCATCCTCTGTCGCCCACTCATCTGAAACCACAACAATTATTATCTTTTGTTTCTTGTTTTTTTTTTCTTAAATGCATAAAATCCCACAGGTCCAAAGCCTGTTGGGCCTGGAGAATAACGGTCCTAGGGGGTCCCCTTTAATCCCAATATATTATCTACATATCTGCCACAGCTGCAGTGTGTGGGCTGTATACGAGATCCATGTTTGGACTTGTATATCACAGTATAGATGCTGTACTATTTTCCTTTTTTGTGTTTCTGTTCCTTTACAGGTGTCTGAGCAGTGAGTTCTTGACTGGGTCTAGCTGTTTGTTCATCTGTTTAGTTGTTCTCTGGATATAAACTAACAGGACAAGTCTACCTTCCTCTTCTCCAATAACGGACTTTGGAGAATCGTGCAGTTATCCTCTCTACACAGAGACGATAATGTCTCTACATTCAGACTGATTGTTGGTTTTTGGGCATTGTATATTTGTGGACAGGAACAGTATATCTTCTGTGAACAAGCGACTATTTGTCTGTTTTTGTTCTTTATAACACTTGCAGAAGTCAAACTGTGTTTGAGTAAAGACTGAAGTGTGGAAAGAGGAAAATAATCTTTGACTGAGATGTAGGACTCACCTCTTTGTCCAGTTCTTTAACCAGTTTGTCTAAATGGATGGTGGTGTTCCTACAGTGAAAGAACAACTGTTTCAACGGTACAAGCAACAAGACATGACTCCAAATGTAAAGACATCAATCATGCAAAAGTTTGGACACCATACTGTAAATGTAATAGATTTAAACATGTGTTTGCTCCATTAGATATTGAACTAATAGAATCTTGCAAGAGCATGTTACAGGAAGTAAAACTGCACAACCGGCTGAGGCGAAGTGCACGAATAAATGAACCTCGGATGATACACTCCGCCGTGATGCACTGCTCCGAGAGGCCGCTCTGGTGTTGCTCTGGTGTTGCTCTGGTGTTGCTCTGGTGTTGCTCTGGTGTTGCTCTGGTGTTGCTCTGGTGTTGCTCTGGTGTTGCTCTGGTGTTGCTCTGGTGTTGCTCTGGTGTTGCTCTGGTGTTGCTCTGGTGTTGCTCTGGTGTTGCTCTGGTGTTGCTCTGGTGTTGCTCTGGTGTTGCTCTGGTGTTGCTCTGGTGTTGCTCTGGTGTTGCTCTGGTGTTGCTCTGGTGTTGCTCTGGTGTTGCTCTGGTGTTTGTTCTTTCAGTATCATTCAGTGACTGTGTCTGTAGTGTGCAGTGACTGTATAAAGGACATCTGTCTCTCCCAGCACCAGTGTGGACCTGTGCTTCTCACTTGCACTTCTGCTCCAGCTCATCCTTGGCCTGCATCTCATGGTCCAACTTCTCCTCCAGAAGACAGACCTTCTTCTGGATCTGAGAAAACAAGTATTACAGTAAATTATGAACTACTATAGTTGATAAACAAACATATGCAGAGCTGTGGCCCATGTTCATTATTGTTTTCCTCGGTCATTTACACACAGCTGTTATAATCTATGCATCTACTATTTGTAATGCATTACACTGGAACAGTACCCAGTATGTAATGTGCATTGTGCAAATTTAAAATAGCATAAACAAGTACTGAACAGGAATATGTTATGGCTATTGTTTGTTTAAAGATCACAACAAAGTAACTGATAACTGAGAAGTGAAAGCAAAATGAAACTGGGTTTTGATGGTTGAAAAAAAGGAGTATTCATTCAACAGGAGTAAAAACTTGGAACCCTTTGACTCCACATCACGCTTTTCAAAAAACAAATGTTCTTACCTCAGAACTGTCCTTCTCCTCCTCTTCAGCGTAGTCTTTACAGCTCTGTTTGACCTCCTCCTCCTCCTCCTCCTCCTCCTTCTCCTTCTCCTTCTCCGTCTCCTCCTCACAGGCCTTCTCTCGGTTTAGGAGCCTGTAACACATGGAAAGGGTTATACTGAGGGACACTGCGCTTTCAGAAAAAATTCAACCTCTGCAGAGTTTTCTACATAAAGTTGCAGCGTTATTTAAGAACCACAGAAACAATATAAAACTAATATATTTCATGCACAAAAAATGAGGATTAGTTATCAAACTATTTATCTTTGCTCCCAAACACAAGAAATTTCTGAGTGGAGTTTGCATGTTCTCCCCGTGTCTGCGTAGGTTTCCTCCGGGTGCTCCGGTTTCCCCTACCACTAAAAATATGTACAATAGGTCTGGCATGTGCCTCCTGTACTGGCACCTCCACTCCCAAAAATAACAATTGTAAACCGCTTTGAGACTCCAATGTGCAGTGAAAAGGCAGTATATAAATAAAGATTACTTACTTACTTACTACAAAGGAAAACTTACTTTGGTGTACTAAGTGAAGAGGGTCAATGTCCATGTCAGCACCAGCTGCAGTACGAGACGACTGTATCTACTGTATACATTTATATCTATGTTTATGAACTAACATTTTTGAGCGATGGGCTTATAAAGGCGCATTTTGATGGATTTGAGCACTTTCATTATATTGTTGAGTTAGTGCAGGATACAGCTCTGTTTTGTGGCTTACTGGATCGCACAAACAACTCAGGCCGCCAACACAACAGGAATGCACAATCTTTTATGCTCTTTCTTCAGATTGTGAAGAGACAATTGTAGACACACCACACTGAATAATACAGGGATTACTGCTGCAGGCTGTTTGCATTGACTATTTTTGTTTGGGGAAGCTCAAGGTTAGGGTTAACTTTATGATTCAAACTTGTTTTGTTTTTAAATTCATTAGTTACACACTGGATTTCTTTGAGAACTGAACTTCGATCAGGTTATGGACCCTCTGGATTTAAGCCTTGGTGCTCGAAGACAGCAGAGGTCAGACAACCTCAAGTTGCAGCCTCATGGTTTATGCGCAGACATGTGGGGTCCACCAATCACAAGCAGACACCACTAATTACAGCGTGAGAGGCCATTTTAGCGCTGGCCTGACATAATACAAATTCCAAAGAGAATGAATATAAAGACACGTTCTGCAGCCATTTCTAGACTCCATCATGAGAGGTGTCACACTCAGAAGCAAGGGAAGGGGAAGCCAGTCGCTCTGAAGAAGGTGGACTCGGGCCCCTCTCAAATACTACAGCTGTAATGCCATCTTTAATATGTTAGTGTCAATATTATAAAATGCAGCAAGCTTGACAATTGTTCTTTAGTGAAATGAAAAGGTTACTGAGCAAAAAATTAGATCCATTTATTCATTTTCTGCCCCTTTATTAGTCCATTTCTGGGTCGGGGGGGTGACAATCAGAGCTGCCACCCATTGCTCAAAGCCCCAGTCCAAAAATAAATAAATAACACAAAATAGACAAATGCAAAATGAAGCATCCCAAAATATACCAGCAGGTAAAAATAACGCTCTCTTTAATGTTGTCATGTTTCAATTCTAGTGGCAAATATAAAAATGCAATGTATTCGAATTATGTTAAAAAATGTTGTAGTTACAGTTACATAAATGGTATAAAGATTCTTAAGAATGTGAGCCTCAGACAGTTATGTCCTCATCATAGTGTTTATTTATTTATTTTTATTTATTTGTTTATTTGACAGGGACATTGCACAATAAATGTATTGTTCAGACCGGATATAGTTACAAGCTAATTTTCATCCGTAGTCCCTGAGGCAGAGGCAACGTGACAGCAGGTTTACAGTGTGCAAAGAATTGATAAATAGAAAGAATGAATGGCCTAATTAAAATACAGATAAAATACAACACGTCTAAATCACACAGACACAATTCAATACATACAAAATATACATCACACAATTATTTACATCTGCCTAATGACTACAGACTTGATTCTCTTTGAGCCAGTTTTTTAGGCTGAGTTTAAACTGTCCTAGTGAGCTACTCTCCCGCACAGACAGAGGTAGTGAGTTCCAGGCCACTGCTGCTTTAACAGAGAAACAGTTCTGACCAAATGAGGAGGACCTAAAGTTCACATAACAGTCTCCCCTGGATGTGGCTCTGGTGGATCTGGTTCTCACCTCCTCACACCTTTTCACAAATGTATTTAGTGGTGGGGGTGCCAAATTTTGGAAAATTGTATATATAAGACAGATATTTGCAAACTGGATAACACTCTCAAATGTAAATAATTTATATTTCTCAACAATTTTGCAATGATGATGTGACCTCGGTTTTTTATCTAAAATCTTTAGAGCTTGTTTGTATAAACTCAGAAGAGGTTGCCTTGCTGAGTCTGGAGCCAATGACCAGGATGTGCAACAATAAGTGAATTGTGAAAAAATCATTGAATGCATAAAAAGCTTTGCCGCATCTGGACTCATCTGGTGACGGATTCCCCTAAATTGAGACAAACTAAATTTTATACGTTTGATCATTTTGGAAATGTGCGTCTTAAAAGACAGTGTCCTGTCAAGCTCAACTCCTAAATATTTAGTCGAGTCCACAATTAACAATTTGTCTCCATTAATGATTATTTCTGGTGGAGTGAGATGAGTATTCCTTACTGAAAAATACATGCTGACGGTTTTTCTAACATTTAGTGTCAGACATGATTTTACCATCCAATCTGAGATTTTCTCCATGGCAGATTGGAGAATAGACGCAGCTTTTTGGCTGGTTTTGTTATGGACATATAATACAGCATCATCAACAGTCCTATGCCCAGAGGTAAATATTCAGATGTACGCTGGAGTGTCCTATGGAGTGCAGTACAACACTCCTAGTGTTGTACTGCACGTCACGTCGATGATGTGACGGGACAAATGTTCTGGATCATAGACTGTAGATGGGCTTCAGTGAGCTCAGGGAGTGGTAATGTCCTGTAGGGAAGCGCTCATGAATGAAGTTTTGCTCAAACTCACTCTGGCTCCTACTGACCATTGCATCATTGTCATCAGCAGTGAGGTGCTGGTCAGATTCATGTGGTTGATTGAGCCATGGCAGAACATTTCACTTCTTAAAAACCCTTTTGGTTTAAGAGCAGCACCTACAGCATTCAAGAGGTCCACAAGAGGTTGTGCTGGACACAACTGCTCATGTTGTTTTTTGAAGCACTAAACGTGTCAGAAATACATTCATTCTCTCAATCCCTTTATTTTCTCCAAACCTTGAGAATATTCCTCGTATCCACAGACTTCTCCATTCACACCTCACCAACGCACATGCACCTTGTGCACACACACACACAATTACAGCTGATGTCAAAGGAGGCAGTCTGCAACTGGCCACGCACACAGCAGGGCTTTATCCACATCCTGGTCCAGGGATAGACCACCAGATCCAGACCAGGGCTCAGCACAAGGCTGCAGTGTGCAGACCGGAGGCCTTCACAGAGTAAACACTCACATGCTGCATTTTAAACAAAATATTACATTCAAAACGCTAAAGAAAACGCTAAAAAATACTCACTTTATCTTGATTTTATTGAAATACTAGGCTGCCATGATACTGCTTTTGGAGTTTGAGTAATGTACAATATTATAACAACTAATTGTTGATGAATGATTTGTTAGAACATTCTTCGTAGTGACATCTGATCATGTTTGATGTACACTGAACTCGAATTAATTAAAGACTCGAGTCGACTTGTCTCTTATGAACGTGTGCAACATGGACACAGTAGTTTACATCAGTCTCTGTATATTTGTAAGCACCGCTATGACTTCATCTGCTGCTGTTTACTGTAGCAGATGAAGTCTGTGTTTCAGATATATATTTCAGAATTCTATCAAATTATATATAAATCGATATATATTGCAAAAGTGCTATTTCAATTTAATTTCAATGGAATGGAACGGACCTGTCTTGATGGGGTCACCAGACCTGCACACACCCAGAGGACGGCCCCACGGCCACCTGTGTGATGCTGCAGAGCCATTATCAGACCTTTATTGCACTAAAGTATTCTATGGTGGCACGGTGGCTGAGTGGATAGCACTCTCGCCTCTCAGCAAGAAGGTCCTGGGTTCGAATCCCGGTTGGACCAGGGCCTTTCTGAGTGGAGTTTGCATGTTCTCCCCGTGTCTGCGTAGGTTTCCTCCGGGTGCTCCGGTTTCCCCTACCACTAAAAATATGTACAATAGGTCAGGCATGTGCCTCCTGTACTGGCACCCCCACCCAACAATTGTAAACCGCTTTGAGACTCCGATGTGCAGTGAAAAGGCGGTATATAAATAAAAGCTTACTTACTAGCTTACTTACTATGGTCCATCTGTGAAAGTGTGTTGGTTATGATGGCGACAGGCACTCACCGGTCCTCTTTGAAGAATGTGAAGCCCACGAATGGCAGCTGGTTCCCGGAGAAGGCTTTGGGCTGAGGGAAGGTCTCCACGTCCCCTCGCTCTTCCTCAAAGTCGTCAAAGTTACTGGTATCCACGTCACTATTGAGCTCGGGCACCACGGGGGCCACAGCTGAAGGAAACAGAGCAGGTGAGCGGATTCTTATTCAAGCATTTTTACTTGATTTTGTTAAATTAATCATGGACATATTATAAGTAAATGAGTGTAAAATCCATTGTGGCACCTGAGGTAAAGGTAAAGGCACTTTATTAATCCCCGTGAAATTGCACTGCTCTTCCATCACATTATTAACCAAGGGACGAGGTCAAATGTCTCTTTTCATTAAGAGACCGTGGGCGGCACGGTGGCACCACTAAAAACATGTGTTTGTGAGTGAAAATGTGGGACAAACACATTTTCACTCACAAACACAATAAACATAAATTTATTGAACATAAATTTATGTTCAATAAATTGAACATAAATGTATGTTTTGTAGTGTTCAGGGTTTGATAAGGGGCAGCAGGCTGCTGTAAAAGTCCAGGTTCCACTCTGGGAGCTGGCCTGGTCCAGGAGGACTGAGATCCAAAAGTCACATGACTTTAAATAAACTAAAATTACAGGAGAAATCCTCTTCCTCAATCTCGGTTTTGAGGATGGTTGAGTATTTCCCATATTAAAGGGTTGAAGCAGGTTGAAAGTGGAGATTTGGTGGAATACGGCATGAGTAGATGAGGACTGTGAGGGAATAGAACATGTGGATTTGTTTAAAGCTGACGCAGCACTTCACACAGAGCGCCTTTGTGTCCTGAGCACAAGCCTCACACTCAGGCTCTGACCCTTATATTTAAGAACAGAGCTGGAGAAATTACTTTGAAAGAGCCATTAGTTACATATGAATAATTACTTTTTCAAATCCCACTCAGAAAGTAACTTCAGTTACTTTACTATACTTAATATACTTCTATACTATATTAGTTCAGTGATAATACTATATGCGTGACACAGTAGTAGTAGTAAGTAATCTTTATTTATATACCGCCTTTTCACTGCACATCGGAGTCTCAAAGCGGTTTACAATTGTGATTTTTGGGAGTGGGGGTGCCAGTACAGGAGGCACATGCCAGACCTATTGCACATATTTTTTTTAGTGGTAGGGGAAACCGGAGCACCCGGAGGAAACCGGAGCACCCGGAGGAAACCTACGCAGACACGGGGAGAACATGCAAACCACTCAGAAAGGCCCTGGTCCAACCGGGATTCGAACCCAGGACCTTCTTGCTGAGAGGCGAGAGTGCTATCCACTCAGCACGGTGGCTGAGTTACAGAAGTAACTGCTCAAATTATATAAAACAATTAAAAACGCAGAGGCGTTGGGGGAAGACGGAAGTTTCAGATGTCAAAATAACAACATTATTATCTTACAATTGTTCACCACAGAAATAAAAAAATTACTTTAAAAAGGTTCATCTGGTCTAGTATGAAGACCAGACGACAGGGAATCTTCCTGCCTGCGACATGCAGCTTCTAAGCACTTATTACAAATGGAAACCACCTGCTGGAGTTAAGCTAGAAATGGTAAAAACACAGGACACATTCTTGTACCCAGTTTTCATTTGGTAAAAATGTGTCGTGCCATTTTTCCAGATAATATCACTAGCATCCAAAATGAAAGACTCATGCTGGTGTCTGATTGGATGTTCAAGACATTTGTCAATATACTGTACATACATACATATATATACAAATTACAATATATATAAAAATTAATCGTAATCAATCAGTTTTCTGCAAAAGGTTGTTTTTAATGGAAATATAAATGACATAGTGTACGTACTGTATTTGTTTATTATAACAACAAATCCACATAAAACAGCATTAACATTATTAACATTCTGTCTTTCTGTAGTAGACGCTATTTATTCAGCTCGACATATTCCGCTTCAACTAAAGCCTCTTATTTTTCTCTCATCAAGGCTGTGGAAAAACTAGGTACCCCAGCTTTAATTTAGCGAGTGTAGTTTCGAAGCGGGAGGAGACACGGACACTTCCTGGCTCCATAGTGCAGCTCCAGAGGTGCATTTATTACACTCACAGGTTACACAAAGACACGCACACAACGAGCAGAATAGTTCTGTGCGTGGATGGATGGTCTTTCACGTTACGCCGGCGCCGTTCGCCGCGTCCACGGAGGATGCGGACTCCCGTTCAGTTCATCGCAAACAGCAGCAAGTGCCTCGCTGTCTTTTTTCACTTGAATTCCCAGAGACCTGCTCTGTCGCCATTTTACGCATGTGTCCGCGGCATTCTGAGTATTATTGGATGTATGGGCGGGTCATTCGATACATACGTTAAAAGCGTTTAATTTCTTAATGTGATGAATGAAAATAATTCATTGACAAATATTTCTTTTAACTGGACAGGAAGCCATAATCATCAAAATGACAAAGAAAGATCCCCAATGGTTCACCGGGTTTTCACACACTGTTGGTATTTTTGGCCCATTCCTCCGTGCAGATCTCTTCAAGAGCAGTGATGCATCTTCAATACCCTTCTTGCCTTTAAACGGATCAATTATCCAAGCCCAAAATATGATGTTTCCACCCCCATGCTTCACAGTAGACTGGGTGTCTTTTGGATGCTCCTCCAAACCAGACCAGATGAGTTTTTACCAAAAAGAGACTGGAGTGAAAATTGAGGGCATTGAAGACACCTCACTGCTCTAGAAGAAATCTGCATGGAGGAATGGGCCAAAATACCAGCAACAGTGTGGAATCCGCTCTCATTTCCCCTTCTTATCAGCAGCAGTCTTTAAAGCTGTGGAGATGATTTGGCCCCAGATCTCCGGATAGAGCTGCCTGGGTGCGACATATGAGACAGTAGTGTATCGGACTCTATGAGAAACAGCTCAGGGGACAAGCCCGGCTCCTGTAGCCCGGCTCCAGCTTGCTCCCTGCTTGTGGTAATGAGCTAATGACAGAGCAGGGGTGCGATAGGGAGAAAGTATCGCAGCTCTGTCATTAAGGTCCCTCACTGCCAGCACGCCCATCGCTCTGGGGGCCGGCACTCCTCTATGCTTCAAGTGTGGGTGTGTGTTAAAGTTGAGCGCTATTGGTTAAGTATGAAATTGACTTTGCGAATGTGATTACATTTGTGAACATTTTGGTGTGGTTAAGCTTTTCATGCTGCTTCCTGGAAAAAGCTAAACACTATGGGTGATGTCACATTCAGTTAGTCCACTCCTGTTGAAGCTACAGGTTGTAGTTTGGACTCTGACTGGTTTAATGAAGTCTTCTTCTTTTCTCCATATCTGTGACTAATTGGTGAGTATCCATGGATTATGTCACAGAAATCCTATTATTCCTATTAATCCTCTGTATTTTATGCAGTAAATGTGTATGTATTCACAAATATCTATATTCATGAACACCTATATCTGTATTATTCTACTCTCACAATATTAGTTTATTATTATTCTTATCTTCAGATTACTTCAGGCTACTGTGACAACGCAATTTCTCTTGTGGATCAATAAAGTCTAAGTCTAAGAAACAGGGGTTAGACGAAATAAGTTTATACTTCAGCCTAAACCTCTTCAGTCATTCACGTATTTGCATATTTCAGTAAAATATACGTAATATTTATTTTGAACGTGGTGACCGAAGAAATGAACTGAACTGAATTACAAATAAAATCCACTGTACAGTATCTCCTTGAAGGTTTTTTATGCACTAATTTGACACATGTTAATCTGCATTTTTCTATTTGTAAATCACTGTTCACAAACTCTGGAGGTTCCTAGCAAAGGAGCTGTAGGTGCGTGATCTACAACTCAAAACAACTGTAGGCTGCAAGAAGTCCAGTCTAGCATTACGTGTTCCAAAATATTCAAGAAGGGAAAAGAAAAAAAACTTCGTAACTTATTAACTTACTTTTAACTTCAACTTATTGTCTGGTGCAGATACACAGGGAAACAAATGGTCATCTTCCATCATGCACCTTCAACTGCCGTCTTAAACTGCTCCTCCTTCTTACGATTTAATATTAACAATTCAGAAGGTGATTTTGTTTTTTAAAGAAGAATCCATCATTTGCTTCAGTGATACTTATATATATCATGAAGGTGTTTTGACCAAATGATTACCTTTGATGAGTTTAGTTATGGATGATTCTCCAGAAGAAAATAACTACAGCTGCTTGGAGACTCTATAGTCAAATAAATAATGAAATATGGTTGCTACGAAATTAAAGTTTGGGGTCACTAAAGACGGACCATGTTTCAGTAATAATGAGTTGCATGCTTTAATAATAATAATAATTCATCGGTTTAAGCCCTTTTCAAAAACTCAGATGCTTCACACTGTAAACCCTAACTTCAATCGTACTTCAGATATCAAAGTTATTCTAAATAGATTTTTCCCAGTAAGTGAACATTACTCATTTATTGTTAGTTTATTTAAAGCTTGGCGATATCACTCAGGGTTTTCTTTGAATTGAACTCTCTGTTCAAGTAAGCCTCACTTTTGACATTTTGACATGTAGAGTCTTAAATGAGACAGGTGTGAAATGGGGCAAGGCAGCACGGTAGCTGAGTGGGTAGCACCTTCACCTCTCAACTTCAAGATCGGAGCAAAATTTAAAATTTATTGCAATCGCTTGAGTTGGTAATATCAAGTAAGGGATGTACTCGAATAATTCAAGTGAAGTTAATATGCAATTTATTTCCAAGGTTTTTTCAAGTAAACTTTACTTGTTAGGGTTTACAGTGTTCAGGACATTTACAAAAAAGTAAAAAGAAGAGTACAAAGCTGAATCTAAGAGTTGAATGCTTGGAGGAAGACGTGAGTTTTTAGCTGTTTTTTGAAGGAGTTTAGTGAGTCCGAGTTTCTGAGATGGAGGGGGAGAGAGTTCCAGAGAGTGGGAGCAGAGATGGCGAAAGCTCGGTCCCCCAAGGTTCAGTGGGAGTGAGTCTGCAGATCGGAGTCGACGAGAGGGACTGTAGAAGTTCAGTGAGGTCTGGAGGAGGTTATGGAGGGCTCTGTAGGTGATGAGGAGGATTTTTAAATAGATGTGCTGTTTGATGGGGAGCCAGTGGAGTTTATGAAGGACAGGGGTGATGTGTTCTCTGGAGCGGGTTTGAGTATTTAACCCTCAACAGCACATTTGAGAACCTTTCTGAAGGTTTGCACACACCATCTCTGGAGAAGAGGGATGGGCTGTGTGTGTGGAGCTGTACTCACACACAGAGCCTCCTCTTAGGCCATGCTTCCTCCAGGACCTGCCCTCTTCCTCACAGACTACAGTACGACTGGAAACAAGGCCATGACTACATGCTTTATGTGTGAACGTCTCCGTGTGATCTGGTCAATATCATGAATTAGTCAGTCCTGCCCTAATGCCATCACACGACTAGAATACAAATCATAATAACAGCTGTACAAAGAGGCAGCGGTCTGATATTTCTCTGTACAGGTATATAATAAAACATTTATTAACCTGACTATTTTTAATTTGTGCAAATATCGATCGGCTTCAACTAGCAAAAACACATGCAACCAATCTGTCAAATCGTGACATGAAGAACTTTCTGATCAGATGATTGAGGCGCCCGCTGGTAAGTTCTCAATCTCTTTTGTGTCTTTACCAATGCTTTCTAGACATCATTGTGAACTTTATGCTAAAGCCCAGTGGCCCTCACTGGCAGTGAGGAGGTACACGCACTGGATGCTGTTGGTGTACAAAGCTCTTCTCGGTTTGGTTCCTGTCTATCTGTGCTCCCTTCTTCAGAGAACCAAGAGCCTGTACAGTTTACGTTCCAATAATTCTTACCTTCTGACTGTTCCACGTGTCCGGACGGAGCTGGGAAAGCAGGCATTTAGGTATTCTGCAGTCAGATCTGAAGTGGTCCAAATTGTTGTCTTTAAACGCATTTCGTTCACTTCTTTTTAAAAAACAGTTCTCAACCATTGCCAAGTGCTCATGCTTTTAAACTTTAACGTGTTATATAGTTGCCTTTAGTTTTTTATTTTTGATCATGTACATGTTTTGTAGTTTCACTGTTTGTACTTTGTAGTATTATTGTATTGTATTATTATTGTATTGTTTTACTGTTGCTCTGTAAAGTGCCTGTGACGTGTGCTACAGACCTCTTGGCCAGGACTCCCTTGAAAAAGAAATCTCGATCTCAATGGGTATTTTCCTGGTTAAATAAAGGTTAAAAAAAAAAAAAAAAAAAAGATATTTGTGGAGTATGTTCATGTCCGACTTGGTTTTCCTAATCATGTTTTTACCTTTCTGGTCTGTAAAGAAGTTGTCAATCTCTTCTTGGCTGTTAGGAGTTGTGTTTTCGTCGTGATTTGCGGTTATTACTTCCTCTGGCTCTTCAAACTCGTCCGGATAAAAGAATTCACTGGAAAATGTTCCCAGTCATCGCTCATCATTTCTTTTTTTTACCGAGGAAAGATATCAAATCTGATTGTCATGGTAACGGTCCGAGATGGGAAAATATCAGACCGCAAATCAGCCAATCAGAGCGCGCGAACGATCCAAGTCACATAATAACATTGGATTATCAAATGGAAAAATATTAGAATCAATGTTATATTTACACTAAAAGAAGATGTAAACATGCTGCTAATGTACAGATGTAAACATACTGCTGCTAATGTACAGATGTAAACACACTGCTGCTAATGTACAGATGTAAACACACTGCTGCTAATGTACAGATGTAAACATGCTGCTAATGTACAGATGTAAACATACTGCTGCTAATGTACAGATGTAAACATGCTGCTAATGTACAGATGTAAACATACTACTGCTAATGTACAGATGTAAACATACTGCTGCTAATGTACAGATGTAAACACACTGCTGCTAATGTACAGATGTAAACATACTGCTGCTAATGTACAGATGTAAACACACTGCTGCTAACATGTACAGATGTAAACATACTGCTGCTAATGTACAGATGTAAACATACTGCTGCTAACATGTACAGATGTAAACATACTGCTGCTAATGTACAGATGTAAACACACTGCTGCTAATGTACAGATGTAAACATACTGCTGCTAATGTACAGATGTAAACATACTGCTGCTAATGTACAGATGTAAACACACTGCTGCTAATGTACAGATGTAAACATACTGCTGCTAATGTACAGATGTAAACATACTGCTGCTAACATGTACAGATGTAAACATACTGCTGCTAATGTACAGATGTAAACACACTGCTGCTAATGTACAGATGTAAACATACTGCTGCTAATGTACAGATGTAAACACACTGCTGCTAATGTACAGATGTAAACACACTGCTGCTAATGTACAGATGTAAACACACTGCTGCTAATGTACAGATGTAAACACACTGCTGCTAATGTACAGATGTAAACATACTGCTGCTAATGTACAGATGTAAACATACTGCTGCTAATTTACAGATGTAAACATACTGCTGCTAATGTACAGATGTAAACATACTGCTGCTAATGTACAGATGTAAACATACTGCTGCTAACATGTACAGATGTAAACACACTGCTGCTAATGTATAGATGTAAACATACTGCTGCTAATGTACAGATGTAAACACTGCTGCTAACATGTACAGATGTAAACATACTGCTGCTAACATGTACAGATGTAAACACACTGCTGCTAATGTACAGATGTAAACACACTGCTGCTAATGTACAGATGTAAACATACTGCTGCTAACATGTACAGATGTAAACACACTGCTGCTAATGTACAGATGTAAACATACTGCTGCTAATGTACAGATGTAAACATACTGCTGCTAATGTACAGATGTAAACACACTGCTGCTAATGTACAGATGTAAACATACTGCTGCTAACATGTACAGATGTAAACATACTGCTGCTAATGTACAGATGTAAACATACTGCTGCTAATGTACAGATGTAAACATACTGCTGCTAATGTACAGATGTAAACACACTGCTGCTAATGTACAGATGTAAACATACTGCTGCTAATGTACAGATGTAAACACACTGCTGCTAATGTACAGACGCTAACATATAACTACACTTTGTTTGCACTAGAATACACAGTACTTTTTGCCAAATGTAAAACTTTTACACTTTTGATTATTGTTATTTTCAAAATTGAGTTTTTATACCTGTTATTTGTTGCTAGAGTAAGAGACTTTGTTTTATTCTAATTAGTACAGCTATTGTTCACTTTTCTTGTGTGGTGTGCACCTCTTTCCTACTGTTGTATAACTTGTAATGCAACACTGAAATTTCCTCACTGTGGGATAAATAAAGGATCTCTTAATCTCAATTATTGACACTGAAACGTCCCTACTGTAGTTCTTTTATCTGCTGTCAGGAACGTATCCTGCCCCTTCTGTCTTAATGCTCAGTTTTCTCATTTGTTTAACGTTTATGAGCATCTGCTTCATCCAACCCCATTTTAAAACCGTGCGTTTGTACGCGTCTGATATTTTTGTTGAATTAATGAACTAACCAACTAGCTTCTTACTCCATTTTCCATGTTTTTATTATTATATTCATACATTTCTACTTAAACAACTGTTCTATACAATTCATTAACACACAGTGAACACACATTAACAGATACAGGTTTTAGCTCTTGGTCAGTTCCATCTCTCATCGTACAAGCTGAATTATGTTTTTGAATCATATCCAAAAAAGATACATAAAAATCTCCATCTGGTCGAACAAATGGAGAATTACATGTAGACATCCTTTTCTTATTCATTGTACATGTCTATCCATATATTTTGTATTTAAGAGATTATTGCATATTCTAAAAGATTAAAAAAGTAAACCTCCTTCCTCCAAACCGTCTAAAAAGAATCCTTTAAATTGTATGGGAGCAATGTGATTTACTGTCACTTACTGTCTCGGATGTTGTCAAAAGTCCACTGCTCGTCCTTGAAGAACGGATGCTTTTTTACTTCGTCCACTCCGGTCCTTCCCAGACGCACTTCCCTGAACCGAGCAACAACCAAGCAAACACAAAAACAAAAATTTAGCGGTGTTTCTTCAGAACAGTCCTCATTTGTGGGCTGTACACTGCTTCGGAAATGGCATGAGGGGAACAGGGCAGTATAGATCCAGAGTGTGTGGAGAAAGTGACTGTTCTCATGTGTGCGTGGTACTGTGGTGTGCTGCGGTGGAGGGGCGTGGTCAGAGCGGGACCAGTGAGCGCCGCGTGGGACATTCCAGGCGGCCGGGCCGAGGGGAAGAGGGCGAGAAGGAAGGACTGTGCAGACATGGAAAAAAGGTTGAGGTCATGCTCTCACCACACATGTGCACAGTGCAGGCACAATGCAAACACAAAGTGCGTGAAGTAAATCCAGCCAGGTCCAGATAAAAGTATCAATATCATTCTCATTTTTTTGCTGAAGTAGAATTTCGAAATGCAAAATACAAGGTGAGCAGAGGGGCCGCATGAAGGGGTTTACATTAAAGCTTGTGGACACGTTACATTTAATACTTTTCACAAAACAATCAAGCGCGGCACGATTACTCTGCCTTTAGTCTCACTACCGGTACCTAGCCCCTTCCCCTGCAGCACCTAGCTCCTCCCCCTGCAGCACCTAGCTCCTCCCCCTGCCAGCCCCTAGCTCCTCACCCTGTCAGCTCCAAGCTCCTCCCCCTTTCCAGCTCCAAGCTCCTCCCCCTGTCAGCACCTAGCTTCTCCCCCCGCCAGCACCTAGCTCCTCCCCCTGCCAGCATCTAGCTCCTCCCCCTGTCAGCATCTAGCTCCTCCCCCTGCCAGCATCTAGCTCCTCCCCCTGCCAGCATCTAGCTCCTCCCCCTGCCAGCATCTAGCTCCTCCCTCTGCCAGCATCTAGCTCCTCCCCCTGCCAGCCCCTAGCTCCTCACCCTTTCAGCTCCAAGCTCCTCCCCCTGCCAGCACCTAGCCCCTCCCCCTGTCAGCACCTAGCCCCTCCCCCTGTCAGCACCTAGACCCTCCCCCTGTCAGCATCTTGCCCCTTCCCCTGCCCGCACTTAGCTCCTCCCACTACCAGCACCTAGCCCCTGCCAGCACCTAGCCCCCCCCCCTGCCAGCAGCTAGCCCCTCTAAGCACCTTCAATGAACAAAGAGTATGCTATTTTGTAATGTAGAAAATATATTGAAAAACCTTGAAATAGTGGAGAAAAAAGGTAAGGAACAGTTAAACACCACACAAACACAGGCATGTCCAAACTAAGTTTGACACCCATGGATTAGAGTGATCCCAAGAGCTTCTACAGAGTTTCTAAAAAGCATGAATCAAGAAGAAAGCTTTGAATTTTGATTAGGCATGAAAACACCAGCAGAAAACCATGTGAGCTAGCGAACCACAACCGTGTCTAGTATGTGCATTTTGTGTGAACATTTACACATAATTGAGTAAACACATTTTTCTGGTAAGTTTTTATCCCTAGCAAACTTTCTTCAAGGAGAATGTGACTCAGTGACATCCAGCTGCTGTTTGCTGCTGGACTTCCATCTAATATTAAATGGCTTCTTTCATCCTCCAGCAACCAAAGCCATGCCATCTAAGACTATTCTTTTGTGCATATTAGGTAAGTTAAGGCTGTAGTAAGACCAAGTGATGGCAGAGCAAGGCTTCCTGAGGAGTTTGCGAATCATGGAGAAACTCTTGTCATTCCTGCTTTTACAAGAGGGAAAACTCAGCTCAACGCTAGAGAAGTGGAACAGAGCAGGAAGATTGCCCATGTACGAATTCATGTCGAGAGAGCAAATGAGAGGATTAAAAACATGTGCATATCAAGTACTAGCTATGCATATGGTTCCACACGCTGACAGCATTGTGACTATTGGTGCTGCAGTATGAAATCTCCAACTAGTTAGTGCATGATGTCTTTACAAATATAGAAACCGTATAACTTTGTTCAGCTTCTTATGTCAAAGAATTAGCATAAGTGCATCAAGTGCAGGGGGGTCTGTTGGACCCTTGTGAGGGTCTAACAAAAAGGACAGTGGTGATGATACAGGACACTCCACATTCAACAACGTGCACATTAGTCTCTGCCCCTTATGGACCAATGGCTCTGTGTGTTTTCTATCATTGCATTCTTCCATCCATCCATCCATCCATCTTCTTCCCCTTAATCCATTTCTGGGTCGGGGGGGGTGGCAGTCAGAGCTGCACCCAGTACACATAGCACCAGCCCCTCACTGATCCTGTTGGTAGAGCATTGGTCTTTGAGCCTGAAGGTTGTGGGTTTGATCCCCCAAGACAAGACCTTCTCCAACTGCTCCCACTGATGTCTGCTGTCGCTGTGTCCTTCGGTAAGACACTTAAGTGAATTCACATTCTACTAATTCACATTAAAAATAGACATAAAACTGCTCTGTCCATGACATAGATTCATCATAAAGAAACAAGTTTAAAGAACATTCATTTGTATGTGTGCCAGAAGTTCTTGATATTAGCATCAACAGAGGCAAAATCAAAAACATACTGTACATACTTTCTTTTAGTTGAGTATTTTAGCTCCTTCCAAATACATGTTTCAGTAAACAGGCAGCATGCGTTCCACACAGACCGTCTTTAGGAGCCGTGGCCACAAAACAAAGGCCAGATGTCATAAATGAGAGCCACGGTCCATCTGAAGCTAAAAATACAGCGTCTGACGATTACGGCGCATACTTGTGTAGTAATAGTACTGCAGTTACAGTCACTGGTGCCGTGGGGAACATGTCTGTGTTATAAATATTGGGTCTAAGTTTAAGAAGGGAGTTGAATTTTTTTGTGAAGCTATAATCAAACAGGAAAGCTGCTAAAAATGAAAGTAAAGACATGATTATATTGTGCACTTCTCACCAGAGCTTACGTTTGTTAAAATCACAGTCTGCTGTAGAGGGAATCCTGTGTTTCACCACATTCATTTTACATTTTTCTGAAACTGTTCAAGTGTTTGTGTGTGGGGTGGGTGTGCGCGTGCATCCGGCAATATACTGTGATATACAGTATATTCCTGCTATTCCTGTGTAATTTTAGTTTATACTGCACATTTATCTTGTGCAGTTCAATGCAGAATCTATATGTCATGTATTTACTCCAGCTCACTTTTGTCATAAACAAAAAAAAGTGAAATCAGCAGTATCGTGATAAGCTTTTCATATGTTGTGATCAGTGTTGGGCACGTTACTTTGAAAAAGTAATTAGTTATAGTTACTAGTTACTTCTCCCAAAAAGTAACTGAGTTACTAACGGAGTTACTCCACTATAAAAGTAACTAGTTACCAGTAAAAGTAACTATTGCGTTACTTTTTCGTTTTGTTCTGGAACATAATGTGCACCCGACGTGCGCATTTTTACCTTTAACAGTGCCAATATTTCCATCTAGAAAAGGCTGTTTTGCTGCTGAAGTCCTGTTCACTCTTCATCTCTCTCTGTGCTGTAAGCACTAAACACCACACCCGCCACTGTGAATGTGGAAACACCGGTGACGAGCGGTGAGGCTGGTGAAGCACTGACTTCAGTCCAATCAGATGAACATATACATCATATAAATCAAGTGGACAATTTGTTTGGCTACAGCAAAATATGTTTTATGCCCGCATTGTTTGTTCATAAAAAACGCAAAACTATGAGTTATGGGTCTTACCTTATAAATGACCTGCACAGTCCACTTCGGTTCAGACCAGTTCCTTGTTTTAATCCAGTTAATGGTTTGAGCGTAGATATGTAATCCTCCATTTGGAAATGAGTCCAATGAGTTTTAAAAAGTAAAACAAAACGCGTGTGTCCTCCGTAAACTCCTCTGTTTTGCTGCAGCCGGCTGCATCCAATTTCTAAAATCAACCGTCTTACACTTCACCTCTCTTTCTTATCATTCCTATAGTCATTGAAAAATTACCCTGTGTGCATTTTAGATTATGTAAAAATGTGTTTTATGTATGTTAGCCAAACCTGTTGCTGTCCTTAGCAGATAAACCAGGAAGAGCAAGGAGCTTATCGATGGAATTGTATGCAGCCGACTTCTGCGCTCACATGCGCTCCTCTGTGGCTGACCTCACGGTGATACAAGCCGTGGTTGAGCGCGATTAAGACCCATATTTGTTTCAAAAACACAATTTATGAGCCATCCTCTCAACTGTAGACATGTAGATTGTAAAGGAAATATGATTTACATCAGCCAATAATTGCTGAGAGGTTTTCTCATCCTCCCTTCTCTCATGACAACACGTTCATTGTGCGTCTTGAGTAACGCGCAGTAACGGGATGTCGGAAATGATAACGGCGTTATAGTTACTGTCAAAGTAATTAGTTAGATTACTCGTTACTGAAAAAAGTAACGGCGTTAGTAACGCCGTTACTAGTAACGCCGTTATTCCCATCACTGGTTGTGATATGAAATGTGTTGCCCAAGGTACTGCATTGCCCTATGAGTGTGTCTGCATATGTGTGTGTGTGTGCATGTCTTTGTGTGCGCATGTGTGTGTATGCGTGTGTGTATGTGTACGTGTGTGTGCCCATGAGTGTGTGCATGTGTGTGTGCCCATGAGTGTGTGCATGTGTGTGTGCCCATGAGTGTGTGCATGTGTGTGTACCCATGAGCAGTGTTGGGCACGTTACTTTGAAAAAGTAATTAGTTATAGTTACTAGTTACTTCTCCCAAAAAGTAACTGAGTTGCTAACTGAGTTACTCCACTATAAAAGTAACTAGTTACCAGTAAAAGTAACTATTGCGTTACTTTTTCGTTTTGTTCTGGAACATAATGTGCACCCGACGTGCGCATTTTTACCTTTAACCTCAGTGAGTCTGAAATATTGCCAATATTTCCATCTAGAAAAGGCTGTTTTGCTGCTGAAGTCCTGTTCACTCTCCATCTCTCTCTGTGCACTAAGCACTAAACACCAACACCCGCCACTGTGAATGTGGAAACACCGGTGACGAGCGGTGAGGCTGGTGAAGCACTGACTTCAGTCCAATCAGATGAACATATATATCATATAAATCAAGTGGACAATTTGTTTGGCTACAGCAGAATATGTTTAATGCCCGCATTGTTTGTTCATACAAAACGCAAAACTATGAGTTATGGGTCTTACCTTATAAATGACCTGCACAGGCCACTTCGGTTCAGACCAGTTCCTTGTTTAAATCCAGTGAATGGTTTGAGCGTAGATATGTAATCCTCCATTTGGAAATGAGTCCAATGAGTTTTAAAAAGTAAAACAAAACGCGTGTGTCCTCCATAAACTCCTGTGTTTTGCTAGCGGCAGCCGAGTGCATCCAATTTCTAAAATCAACCATCTTACACTTCACCTTTCTTTCTTATCATTCCTATAGTAATTGAAAAATTACCCTATGTGCATTTTAGATTATGTAAAAATGTGTTATATGTATGTTAGCCAAACCTGTTGCTGTCCTTAGCAGATAAACCAGGAAGAGCAAGGAGCTTATCGATAGAATTGTATGCAGCCGACTTCTGCGCTCACATGCGCTACTCTGTGGCTGACCTCACGGTGATACAAGCCGTGGTTGAGCGCGATTAAGACCCATATTTGTTTCAATAACACAATTTATGAGCCATCCTCTCAACTGTAGACATGTGGATTGTAAAGGAAATATGTTTTACATCAGCCAATAATTGCTGAGAGTTTTTCTCATCCTCCCTTCTCTCATGACAACACGTTCATTGTGCGTCTTGAGTAACGCGCAGTAACGGGATGTCGGAAATGATAACGGCGTTATAGTTACTGTCAAAGTAATTAGTTAGATTACTCGTTACTGAAAAAAGTAACGGCGTTAGTAAGGCCGTTACTAGTAACGCTGTTATTCCCATCACTGCCCATGAGTGTGTGCATGTGTGTGTGCCCATGAGTGTGTGCATGTGTGTGTGCGTGGTCACCTGTCTGTGAGGAAGGCACAGATGAGCTGCTTGGCCTCCGCAGACATCTCCACGTTCTCAGGGAAAACCAGGGAGTTGTTGTGGTTCATGATTTTGCCATAAGTTCCCACCAGAGACTCGGCGTAGAAGGGCGTCTCACCTGAAACCACGGCACACATGAGAAGATGGTGAACCTTTATGAAATGTCAAGTGTTGCAGCGCGAGGCCAGAAGGAGGTGCACGTAAAACTAGATTAATAGCTGATAAAACATGTCCACTTCAAACTTTTGTCCAGAAACGGTCACATATGGTTTGCATGTGACCTATGTCGATTTCATTCAAAATATATAAAATACATCCTGCGGCATAAGTGTGCTGAGACATACAGTGAGGCAAAAAAGTATTTAGTCAGCCGCCGATTGTCATTATGTCATTATTATTATTAAGTGGGAGAACTTGCACAGAGGTCTGTAATTTTCATCATAGGTACACTTCAACTGTGAGAGACAGAATGTGAAAAAAAATCCAGGAATTCACATTTTAGGATTTTTAGAGAATTTATTTGTAAATTATGGTGGAAAATAAGTATTTGGTCACTTCAAACAAGGAAGATCTCTGGCTCTTAAAGACCTGTAACTTCCTCAGCCCCAAAACGTCACTGCTCTTGAGAAGATCTGCATGGAGGAATGGGCCAAAATACCAGCTACTGTGTGTGCAAACCTGGTAAAGACCTATAGTAATCGTTTGACCTCTGTTATTGCCAATAAAGGTTATATCACAAAGTATTGAGTTGAATTTGTGTTTATTTTCCACCATAATTTACAAATAAATTCTTTTAAAATCCTACAATGTGAATTCCTGGATTTTTATTTGAAGTTGAAGTGTACCTACAGTAGGTCCCATTTCGTTTTGTCGCCTTTCACGTGTGAATAGCACGAGACTCACGTGTGAAACACGTGTCTTTTATTGTTTTTTTCCCCCAGTGATGCTGCAATGACCCAAACAACCACCAGGTGGCACTTGTGAGCAGGGTTAGGAACATTGGCTTCTCACCGCTGATTCTTCTCTCTTCACCGGACAACTTTCTGTGGCTTTATAGCTCAATGATGAGGAGCTAGACTCTGTTGCGAGAGGACCTGGGTTCAAGTACAGGCTAAGACACTTTTGATTTTGTTGACGTTTACATTTTTTCTAAAACATACTTAGTAATTAGGCCAACACATTTAAAATAGTTGCTAGACTGTAGTAAACTTGTAAAACGCGCTGGGTGTCACACATGGCTGGGGGCGATAACGCACGGGTTGCCACTATTCATTCTATAAAAAGTCCACTTAAATTTGTAATGTAGTCCATTTAAACTTAAATGTATTTGTCACTGCTTATTTACACATGAGGCGTTACAGCACGTACGCGTTATACGCGCAGCAGACGCGCGTTACTTTTTTCCATGTTAACCTATGATGATATTTACACTTCTAGCGTTCTCTCTAGCGCTCCAATTTAGGATGGATTTCTAATTTTGTGCGCGCAGCCACGCGTCTCCCATTGAAATCTCATGTAAAACATGATTTTTCTAGCGGCCCTTGGCTCTAGATCGCATCTACGCACACACTGCACTTGTGTCTAAACATCAGCAGGAGGAGCAGCAGGTTTTAAAGTGATTCTAGACATAGTTTTTTTTCTTTCATAAAGTCTGGCGTCTGGCTAAACCAGCACAGAGACCATGAGGACAAACACATGCATGTGATTTGTGTTGCTCTACATCAGTCCTCTGTACTGTCCTCTACACTGCTCGAAGTAGTAAACGCGTACGCGCTGTTTACGCCTACTGTGTAAATTCCCTGTCAGACATACATCCATGCGTTTAGTGGCAGAGGAGGGGGCAGCCACAGACGCTTCTCCCCTCGCTCCTCTGATCAGAATGAGAGGAAAACTCCTGTTGAAAATCAAAGTCACCTGATGCGCACAGGCTCTTCTGTCTTTAGGACAGATAGATTTCAGAAAGAAATTACTACTCAAAAGGCGCTCTTAGACGCTGCTGTTGTAGCGAGGGCTGACGCAGCCTCATGCCGCTCCCGATCTCGACGGAGTTTTTGAAGTGTACAGTAACTCTACCAAATACAATTACTCAAAATGAGTATTCTAACAATTTGAAAGTTATACCAGTTATACCACTTACTTTGAAATAGCATTCAGTAGCAACACTTTTAAACATAAAACACATTCTCACGATATTGCCAATACAAATTTATGATGAGGGGAAAACTTTCTTTCTCAAAAAGGTTATATAAGTATTGTTAATGTATCCATGGAAATTGAATTTGGTATATCTACATGTTTTGTGTAGGTAATGGATATGTATAGATACCAATCATAACTGTACGTACAGAGCCACGCACATTAAGCGTCTCTCTAGAACGCTGCCAAATTACAACCCCGAGGAGGCGATTGGACAGTTCAGAGTTGTAATTTTTTAATTACCTAAGTGTGGGCCTAAAGCTGTGTGTGTGTGTGTTTTAATAAATCTTTCTTTACATACATTTTCATTTCCTCTATAAATTCATTCATGATGAAAATTACAGACCTCTGTCATTATTTTAAGTTGGAGAACTTGCACAATCGGTGGCTGACTAAATACTTTTTTGCCCCACTGTAATCTGCAGTAAAACGCCGTTAAAGTGCTACATGAACGGCTTAGTGAAATGAAAACTCTTGTGATGACTAACTCCGCTGTCTTGGCCGTGGCCCAACTCAAAGCTATTGTAGGGTTAACACCAGGACTGACATGATTTAGACCTTTCACGTTTCCAAACTTCAAATAACGCGTGAGGAAAAGATGCCTCTGTTCATTTACTGTAGTGGTTCCTAAAGTGGGGGTCGGGGCATAAAGCGCTAAACCCTCCCTCAATGATCGTGGTGCAGTTGAAGCGATTGCAGGAACTCTTCACTGAAAATAATGCAAAACATCAGGGACTGTTTGTTCTTCAGCCGATGTTCTGCGATACATGGATACAGTCTGAAGTGATGGGAGGGAGACGTACCGACCAGCAGCTCATAGATGAAGACCCCCACAGCCCACCAGTCACACTCCCTCCCGTAAAGGCCGTCTCCGCCCTGGGACTGCAGCACCTCTGGGGAGATGTAGTCCGGAGTGCCCACCGCCGTGTCGCAGTGCACCAACCCCGACTGCAACACCACATGAGAAGGACCGTAAGGACACACGCAAAATCAACACTTTGAAACTTTTTTTTTAACCATTGTTCCCCGTCAGAATCAGACCTGGATGGAGTTGTTTTTAGCTCTGCCCACACTAATAACAGGCCCTTCTGTCTAAAACACGTCCCATCCGTCTCGTTTGCGGCTGGAGGCCACATTAACGAATTGAGGGTTTTGTTTTAACCGTTCTGTTTATAGTTTTTGTATTTATTTATCTAACATGATATACTTGACTAAACCAAAACTTCACCAAAGTAAAGAAGGCTCGTAAATGTGGACAATGAATTAGCTTTGAATTCAACTATGACAAATTTTGCTTTCATCAATCATTACAAGGCCACTAAATATTGAATTGATAACGTGTTTTCATGGCTCCATCCACATATAACTGTGCATGCAATTGTAACATTTTATCGACACCCTTCTTTTAAAAATATGGAAAGAGCTCATGATACATTTCTATAAAAATGTGTTTTTTTAAATGGCTTTAACTCCCTTGGATTTAACTTCAAAAAGTTTGTTTCTAAACCCCCCACAGTCTGCCTCTGTTACTCATGTAAACTAGAAAAATAAGTCCCTGGATGCTCCTTGTAAATGGAACGCTCTTCTTCTATTCCCTAGAGCAGTGTCTCCCAAAGTGGGGTCCGCGGCCCCCTGGTGGGCCGCGATGGTACTGCAGGGGGGCCGCGGGAGGTCATAAAAAAAATAAAAAAATAATATAATTATTTAATGTTAAATTTATAATGTTTTGTTTGTAATATTAAAATATTTGTGTTCATCATTTGACTTGAATAATCCACTGTAATCATTTTTGTATTACAATGTTTGTAGCAGAGGCTATTTCCCCAAAATAAAATAACCAGAAGAGCCTATTCTTAATGTTGTCTTCTTGGTTATTATTTTGGGGGGCCACGCAGACCCGTCAGATTTTTAAGGGGGCCTCGGTGTTACTGAGTTTGGGAATGGCTGCCCTAGAGCTTAAAATGTCCCTGTCACAATGTGTTTTGTTGATCTGATGTTACATGTGTGACTTCCTGTCTCCACAGCATGGGACCACACCACTGTCTTCTGTCCCCTCTCTTAACTGGCCAATCGCATGAGCCCTGGGGGGCATATAGGTCGTGGCTACTTGCTCTCTAGCCCTCTTGGTCTCTGGGTGTCTCTTGTGTGTGGGCCTCTCTCCCTCTCCAATCCAAACCAACTCCATCACCCTCCGCGTTATGCATGTTTTCTTGTTTTTGCCTGTATGCATTTTGAAACTCTGTTAAATGTCATGAAATATTCTCTTCGATATCCACCTGGTTTGGGCCTACTATCTAATATAGCAACAATACAACATGATTATATTATTATATTTTCATGACAACAATATACAATGCATTACCATCGTGTCTGCTATGGTTTGAATGTTTCCAAGCTTGTTTCAGAAAGCGTTTTGCCCTATCTATAAACTATACTTTCTCACACACCTGGTCCATCTTCATGCAGGTGCCAAAGTCGGCCAGTTTGAGGTGACCGCGCTGGTCCAGGAGCATGTTGTCGGGCTTCACGTCTCGGTGGATGAAGCCCATGGAGTGGATGGCGTCCAGGGCCAACACCAGCTCTGCGGTGTAGAAGCGCGCCCAGCTCTCCGGGACGTCGTAGTTCATGGTGAGGGTGACCACATCTCCCCCCGGCATGAACTCCATCACCATGTAGAGGTGCCGCTCGTCTTGGAAAGCACAGCACAGCTACGGAGACAGAAGGAGACTCCTCTAGTCTAGGATACAGCAGTAAGTCACCACAGCCGTACATGCAGAGACTGAAAAACGCTACGTCTTTGAGTGTCAAGAAAAGCTCTATGCAAACCATTATTATTATTATCATTTTCTTTCTATCATCATTACTGTTATGGTAAACAACCCAAATGTGTAATCACGAGTGGTCGGCAGCGTGAAGGTTTGCCCTGTAACCAAAGAAGCAAAAAAGTCAGCAGATGCATGGAAAGAAGTATGTTTGTTTATTTATTTTCATTATTATTTTCTTCCTTCATGCAGATCTGTGTAGCACTAAATCCTACTGCAGATTTCCCTTGGTGCAATAAAGTTTATCTAATCTCATTTTACATAACACTCAAAATGCAAGATGCCCCAAGAACGCAACGGATGCACTTGTCTGCTCGAACGCTTTCAAAGAATATATCAAGTGTTGCCATGGAAACCTATGGGAAATTCCTTATTTATTATTTATTTCCTTGTTCAACTCTCGGGTCAAGGTCAGCTGAGTGTGAAAAACATGAAAGTGCAGCATTAGCGCCCCCTATAGAGGGAACCACAGACCACACTGATGGGTCTGTCGGTGCGGTCTGTGAGGCCTGTGCAGTGAGTGTGGATTGGGGAATACCTGAACGATCCAGGGGCTGTTGGAAAAGGCCATGATGTGTCTCTCCTCCCAGAAGAACGCAGAGTCCGAGCGCTTGATCATCTCAAACTTGCTGAGCTGCTTCATGGCGTAGACTTTCTGAGACGCCTTGTGACGAACCTACAGGAGAGGGCAACGTCATGGTCCACATTCAACAGATGGAAACCCCTTAAAGATCCAATGTATTTTTACTTCCAAGACACTTAACCCCACTTTGCCTGAAGCTCCCACTGAAAGATCTCAGCTCCTGTGGACTCACCACCTGCAGGAGGATCAGTGAGGGGCTGGTGCTCTGTGTACTGGGTGCAGCTCTGACTGCTACCCCCCTGACCCAGAAATGGATTAAGGGGAATAAAATGGATGGATGGATGGATGTATTTTTACTTTTTGTCAGTCAGAAAATGTGTTTCTGACTGACAGAAAAGCTTTTCACCTGGAGCGTTTTGCTTTATTGCAGGTGTTACAAATGTGATTTCAGCTGAAAGTTCCCCATTCAGCTGTGAAAGGAGAACTATTCAAAACTTTAAACAAGACAGACATAAAAGAACAGTTGAATGGAGGAAACCTCAAGAATACAAGAATACACACACACACATGAGAAGAATACAGAACATGTTTGGAGGTAGTGTGTATCAGTTAGGGTTGGTTTTTCAACAAAACTCAAACTGTTATGTTACCGCATCACTTCTGACTTTGGGTCTCTTGAGAGGAAGTTAAAGAAACGGAATGTTCCCTGTGGTCCTGGTTCTCCTTAGTGTTTTAACTTGGCATTGTATTAACAATACTCATTAGGATTTTAAATAATTGTAGTCTTAAGCGACTTTCCATTAAGCCTGTGCAATATCCATTTTCACCACTTTTCTTTCTTTTTTGAGTTTCATAAATGCATGTCGTTTGTGCCAAAAAAAAAAAATCTTAAAAGCAACAAATCAAGCTTTTGAGTATACCTATACCCTAATGTGCTAATGCTCCTACAGCGCTCTCCAGTGGTTCGATTGGGGCATTGCAGTCTTTGCAGAATGATCAGCAGAAAACTAAAGACAATTCAGATTAATTCCCCTAAAATCTACACAAAGAGAAACCAGGCAGAAGGCTGAACAAGACAGAAGCTCAGACACACACATTACCAATCTAACTCAGGGGGCACTGCACTGTTACCATGTTTTCAGCATTTCACTTGACGTTTTACTTTAATATCAGTAAACTCAAATATCAGTACTTTCTACTCTTTACACTTCAAATAGCTAACCTTATTTCTATTTGAAACTCAACATTTCAGGCGAATGTGTTTCAAATGTCATATGGACTAGAACATGTCTGAAGTGGTTAGATTAGGACACACGTGTTTACATGTTTGTCATGCTTGGGCCAGTATGAAACTTGTAATGGTATAAAATAACTTTTATTAGAATAGTTCAGTGACCTTGTGTCCCCTCAGCTGTAGGCTCTCTGCAGACCTGGAATGTTTTGGATGTGCATGTGCGTGCCCCAGCATGCAAATACACAGGACAATGGAGCAGCAGCCGTAGTACACATACTGTACATGTGCAGTGGAGGCCCAACAACTAAGGCAAGTGAACAAAGGAACTCAGAACATATTTAACACTTTTATTTGCTGTGGCTCTAACGGCCTGATCTTTGTGGAGAATGATACAAGTAGAAGAAACATTGCAGATGGTTTGAATAATTTCTTTAACAAATTGGTGCATCCCTAGAATTTTGGACCCAATGAAGCGATTGTAGTTATTTAGAAAGTAAACAATTAATGTTCAGTAAAATAATAAGATGGGCCTTCAAAAACCTGTTATTCCCAAGTATTTACATGTCCAGTTTGTGTGGTTGGTACGTACCAGCTGCACCTCCCCATAAGCTCCTCTGCCGATCAGCTTGATCTTCTCAAAGTCCTCCAGCTTCACATGGAGCTCCCGCAGCTGGCTCACTGCTTTGTCGTCTGAGGAACACACAAGAACAAGTGAGAGGGAGAATTCACACACACACGTTTCAGAAAACAGACTGTGGTGGTCTGAACTATTACAACTATTATTCAAAAAATGTGTGCGTTCACTTTTGGGCCTTGATGGAGCCACCAGCGCCAGGCCATTATCTACACTACAGACACTTCCTTTTCCGTAGTGAAGCTACATATTTACTGGTGCAACAATTCTCAATATTATGCTGCATAGTTCCACATAACCTCTTTCAAACTAATTTTTGATTAATTCTGTATAATGTGTTGCACAGTAAAAAAAACTCATCCAGGAGTTAAACATTTGCATTAACAACACTCTGTGCGTGTCGCATCAGTTGCATCTTTCCTGCAGTAACTATGTATGACTACATTGTCAAATATATATATTAATAAAATGTTGTTCCGGGGCCGAATAAAGAAAATAAGAACTCGTCGGGAGCCAAAAGAATAGAAGATGTGATTCATGGATTCATTGTCATTTTTGAGAATGATGCTGAGAATGATTTTTTGTTTGTATCTATCTAGATGTGCTGTGCTTCCTGATTGCCACAGATGGTGCAGTTCAGGGGACGGGTGTGGATACTTCACGTTTTAAAATACTCTTTGAAAGCGATTTTATTATTTATTATTACACATAAACCAAATGGGATGTTTTTTTTCAGAATGATTTTGGGGGTCCATGGTATTAGGGGGTCACAGACACAAGTTTCCCCTTGCCTAATGGTCCTGTAGGTCCGCCCCTGCCCCCGTTTCCGATCACTCACATCTGTTGAGAAAAGCCTCGATGTTCTTGTTCTTCCGCAGCGCTGGGTAGTTCAGGTCATGAGCCAGAGCCGTAATGGAGTCCTGCACAAAAACACAATCTTTTAAAGCTAGGTGACCCGACTCCTTGTTTCATAAATAACACATGGTTTGTGCCTCTGAATGGCTGTAGTCTACACGTTTAGTTGAGAAAGAAAAGATGGATGTGATACAGACAGAAAAGCACTGGATAAACCTTCGGAGGCTACACTCTTGGACTACGGGACCAGGAGAACCAGGCTTTACTGCAGTTATCATAAATACATGTTGGTGTCACTGGACTCATCTGTGCAGAGGTAACAGTAGCAGTTTGCTGCATGGATGGAGTTGTGTGTGTCTGCATGTAAAGATTGAACAAAGTTAGATAGACGAGTTAATTATTACTTTCCAGAGTTACTGAATATAGTTATTTAATACAATGTGATCATGTGATCATGTGACTAGCACCATTCTGTTTAAATCTGCACTGACTCCTCTGGAGTGTGTCCTGAAGAAGGCCAGAAGACTGAAACATGTAGGCGTAATTTTAAACATGTTACATTTTCTTTATGTAAATATAAAAGATGATTAATGAGCCTCTCATGACGAGACTGAAGTGAGTCACACACACACACGTGTCCTGCGTTGGGAATTGTGCTGAGAATATGTGTTCTGAAAAAACTCACTTTTCAAGTATTCAATGTATTAGATTTTTTAAGCAAACATTACAAAACACAGGAATACTCAAATAATCCACACAAACTCAGTCAGATTTGTTTTTCTATAAAACATTGGGAGTTTTTGCTGTGACCCCTGGCTTCCTCTCTGCTTGTGATATTCCCAGGGCTGGATCCGGCTCCTTCATCCACAGAAAATTGACGTCCCACATTCTTTATGGTGCAGAAGTCTTATTATCACTTCATTTGACAAAACAAACAGGGCAGGACATCACAACAAACACACATAACAACACGATGAGACAGAAGCTTTTAATAAACCTGCACCTCTGCTTTGTTCAGTCATACTCTGTTCAGAGATGATCCTCGAGGTCAGGGGTCTCCAACCTGAGGCTCGGGAACCACCAGTAGCTCACCACCCCCTTCCGGGAGCTCTCTAATGGATTTAGAACATTGGACAGATCAATAATTCACACGAGAAGTAGAAAGTGAGCGTGTTTAAAAAGAGCTAAAGCATAGACGGAAAATTTGCCAACGTATTTTTAAGCGAAAGAGAAAAGGTCAATGTATATTCGAACAAGTCCTTCGTTTAGGATTACGACTCCATAAAACATCCAACAGATCTAACTCCTGATAAAAACAGGAACACGTTTTAATATTTGCACAAATGACAAAGGAGAAGAGGCTGAAGGAGCATGTTCCTCCGAGGCATCATTTGACTATGAAAATATCCTTGTTTCCATATTTGTTTTTCATGTGTGAATAGCAGGAAGTGTTTATTGTCCAGAGTGATAAACTGTATTCTCTCACTCCTCATTTACCTGAGGAGGTGTGGCCCAGGCCCTATGTCTGAAGTGCAGTCACGGGAGTTCTTCTATCGCAAAGTAAAGCCTCGACTCTCATCTGTGGTGAAACACCTCACTCTGTTATCAAAGAACCCGGGGTTAAGTTTTGTAACCTTAAGTTTTGTTTTTAGCTGCGTATAAAGTTTACAGTCACTGGTATAAAGCCACGTTGTTCAATGACGACAAAAGATTTCATGTCACCGCTGTGTGAAAAACAACAAACTGACGCTGCACAAACTTCTGTCTATTCTTGTTTCCTTCGAGCATGTTGGGGAGAAAAAGGAGGCCATCATCGTATGAAGCCTGTCCTGACAATTTGATAGGTCCGTTCAGCTTTTGTTCAGATATAGTTCTGCCCCGAACAGAGCAGAGTCGCACAAAACCACCGGCTGGAAAATGATCCAGGCAGAGGATCCATCAGGAATCGCACAACTCGAGGTCACAGCCCAAACGTTTAAGCAACAGTTATTTCCACTGCGCATGATAAATAGTAATATACTGTACACTGTAAAAAAAAATATCTAACTGACTTGATTGAAAACAAACCCTTTATTATAATAGATTTATACACTGTAAAAATCAAAAATAAAAGAGAGAGTAGCCTATATTAAATCATGCAAACAGTTGATTTTTTAAAGGGGATTGATATAAGCTTTTGGCTTTGTCCCATCCCTTTTCAGACAAAAAAAGGCATATTTAGAACAGGGAAAATTTTATTTTGATGAATCGTGGGTCAACTATGACATAAATGTCATAGAGCGACAGTAGCTCAGTTGGTAGAGCATTGGCCTTTGAGCCAGAGGGTCGTGGGTTCAAGCCTGACTTTCACCATCGACTCCCACTGTCTGCTGTCGTTGTGTCCTTGGCAAGACACTTAACCTCTGGGAACACCAGCCACAGTGGGGCGGCTGCGGCTGTAAAGTGCCAAACTGCCGTTGTGTCCTTAGGCAAGACACTTCACCCCCATTGCCTAGAATGAGTCTGGTGTGTGTGTGAATGGTTGGTGGTGGTGGGAGGGGCCGATGGCACATACTGGTTGCCTCACTTCTGTCAGTGTGCCCCAGGGCAGCTGTGGCTACAGTGGTAGTATGGAGTGAAAGAATAATGACATGTAAAGCGTCTTTGAGTGTCCAAAAAAGCTCTATATAAAACCGATGCATTATTATCAAATAACTTTTGTGCGATACAAATACATTTGATTTGATCCTTTGATCTGTCAATGAACACATGCCATATACTGTATCATTTTTGCTTGTTTGACAGTTAGTAGATTGAGAAAATATAAGACTCACATTTTCCATGGGATTTTGGATGGATCAAAAAACAACTGTGTTTTTTATGATAATGATGATGCAACATGTAGAAAATCTGCAGATGGGTGGGGGGCCTTCTGACTCATCCCAGGATCACAGTTGGATCGTGTGTGGGGCTGTTCGAGCGGGGGACAGGGGCATGTGGAAAGTCCAGGAGCTCAGAATAGACTTAGCACGTGCACATGCACATGCACACAGCTACAGGGGCTTTAAAATAGACCGAGGCCGAGCGACCGGGGGCTCCTTCACAACTATGTTTAGGCCACAATTCAAACTAGAGTGGACATGACCCACACAGATCGAGAGTTCATTTAAATTCTACTGTTTTTAGCAGCAGGGGGAACCTACGCAGTCATGGGGAGAACATGCAAACTCCACTCCACCAGTTCCCTTCCTGAGGACAACACTGAAGGGAAGAGCCTCCAGTCGTGTCTCATTGTCTCTGCCTTCCACTCTTCAGACTAGAACTTTTTTAGGTGAAACTTGGATTTGTTATTTGGATTACATTATTTTATTGTAACCAGGACAGCAGAGCATTAACTCACAACATGTACCACAGGAAGAAGACCTTTGTGCCTTCTATCCCCCTCCCTCACCATCACCCTCACCCTCACCCTCACCCTCACCATCACCCTCACCATCACCCTCACCATCACCCTCACCCTCACCATCACCATCACCCCCTCCCTCACCATCACCCTCACCCTCACCCTCACCCTCACCATCACCCCCTCCCTCACCATCACCCTCACCCTCACCATCACCCCCTCCCTCACCATCACCCTCACCCTCACCATCACCCTCACCATCACCCTCACCATCACCCTCACCATCACCCTCACCATCACCCTCACCATCACCATCACCCTCACCATCACCCTCACCATCACCATCACCCTCACCATGACCCTCACCATCACCCTCACCCTCACCATCACCCCCTCCCTCACCATCACCCTCACCCTCACCATCACCCCCTCCCTCACCATCACCCTCACCATCACCCTCACCATCACCCTCACCATCACCCTCACCATCACCCTCACCCTCACCCTCACCCTCACCATCACCATCACCATCACCCTCACCATGACCCTCACCATCACCCTCACCCTCACCCCACAATAACACCAAATCCACATCAAACACACGACTGCACCATTCTTACTTAATCCAACCCATAGATCCAGTTCATTTCTTTTGGGGTTCAAGAATGATCACATAATTACTCTACTCTACTCTGTTCCGTTAGTACTCTACTCTACTCTGTTCCGTTAGTACTCTACTCTACTCTGTTCCGTTAGTACTCTACTCTACTCTGTTCCGTTAGTACTCTACTCTACTCTGTTCCGTTAGTACTCTACTCTGTTCCGTTAGTACTCTACTCTGTTCCGTTAGTACTCTACTCTGTTCCGTTAGTACTCTACTCTGTTCCGTTAGTACTCTACTCTGTTCCGTTAGTACTCTACTCTGTTCCGTGAGTACTCTACTCTGTTCCGTTAGTACTCTACTCTGTTCCGTTAGTACTCTACTCTACTCTGTTCCGTTAGTACTCTACTCTACTCTACTCTACTCTACTCTACTCTACTCTACTCTACTCTACTCTACTCTACTCTACTCTACTCTACTCCCGTTTGTATCACTTCCAAAACACATTTCTCAGATGCATGCGCCGGGAAAGGCCTGTTGCTGCACGTTTCGCTTTTCCAAATCACAGCTCGTTCTGCTCAAGGAGCCACAGGGAGCCGACATGCACGCAGCTATTCGTAATGATTATGTCGCTTCGTAAACATGGCAGTGTGTGTGTGAAAAGTCAGCTGTGTTTTTAGACAAATTAAAACGGAAAATTACTGGGGGAAAAAAGCTTCTATCTGCTCTCCGTCGTCTCCAGTTAAATGTATTTGTTGAATATAAATGAATAAGTATAGCGTCATTTTCCACATTTTCCTCTTGTTAACAGAATATCTCGAGTGTGGCCAGCTTCCTGTTTGCTTCTTGTTCACTTCCTGTCCACTTCCTGGTGAGTGCTTTGGACAATTGGCTCCAAAGTGGATGTTGTTCCAAAGACACACACATGGCCAGAGTGAGAGGCAACACAACAACACAATATCACTATAGACAATTATTCAAATCACCTGTTTGTTAATAATCTTGAATTATTAGGCAACAAAGAGAGTGGTCTTTTATCTCTTCACATCAGGGGTGTCCAAACCTTTCAACAAGAGGGCCAGTTCACCAGAATTGTCCAGGGGTTGTAAAACTGTCGTGCTATTCTGGGGCTGAAAATGATGAATTTGACAAAGCTTTAAAAGGTCCCAAATGTTACGCTCTTTGACTGGTCTGTGCTTTAAACATGATTACAGAATTACTATTTGACCTCATACACACGACAAGAGCAGTTTTTTCATTGATTCCTTCAAGGTTTCAGAGCCATTTCTCTCTTTCATTCTCGAGAGGCACAAAAACGTCCGGGTCAATATCAACATTGATGACACAGAAGCCTGTTTTTTGTTTAAAAGGGTTCTAAAATTACATCGTCAACACAGGGAAAACAATACACAAAAAATATACTGTCGGTTGTCCATGTTTACTTCCCACCAGCCATAGACAGAACTGCGTAACATACTCGGACACAGACAGAGAAAGAGACAGAGACAGACAGAAGCAGACAGACACAGAGACAGACAGACAGAGACAGAGACAGACAGAGACAGACAGAGACAGACAGAGACAGACAGAGACAGACAGAGACAGAGACAGAGACATAAACAGAGCCATAAACAGAGACAGAAAGAGACAGACAGACACAGAGACAGAGACAGAGATAGAGATAGAGATAGAGAAAGAGATAGAGACAGACAGACACAGAAACAGAGACAAACAGACAGACAGAGACAGAGACAGACACAGACAGACACAGACAGACACAGACAGACACAGACAGACAGAGACAGACAGAGACAGACAGAGACAGACAGACAGAGACAGACAGACAGAGACAGACAGAGAGAGATGATTGTGTTTACAGATCCTAAACAGTAACATCAGACTCACCAGCAGGGTCTCCAGGTTCAGGGCCCATTGCGGATTCCTCACCAGAGCCTCCAGCCTCCGGAGCCGGCTCTCCAGTCTGCTCTCGGCCCCCAGCATCTCCAGCTGCTGCTCCGGGCCTCACACAGGAACCAACCGGGGCCTCCACTGTAGAGCACAGGAGAACAATGTGAAGGGCCGTCATCACTACATTTCATGGTTCTGATTCTGTCAGACCTCAGAAGTGGGGCAGGGTCTGGTCAGTACTGTGATGGGAGACCTGTGGACACCAGGTGCCACAGTGGGGTGGCTGTGGCTATAAAGTGCCAATCTCTCACTGTGTCCATCGGCAAGACACTTCATCCACATTGCCTTGTACGAGTCCAGTGTGTATGTGAATGAACGATGGTGATCAGAGGGGTCTAACGGCACACACCAGAGCAGCTGAGGCTACAGCGGTAATTTATCAGTTATTATCTAAGAGTGTTCATTTAGGAGAGTCAATTACATATTACATATATCAATTACAATAAAACATCAGTGAGTAGACACAAAACAACTTTCTCCAGACAAAACTGAAAAGATTGACTTTGGTCCCAGAAACAAAAAGAGAGTCATCTGCACCTCCAGTCTCGGTTCCTAAAACCGTCAAATCAGATCAAAAATCTAGAGGTAAAAACGGACTCAGGATCTCTCCAATCTCTCAAACAACTACAGTATAGAAACGCTGCAGCCTGAGGCCTGCAGAGAACCAGGAAGTACCTTAGTCCAGTCCTCAGGTCTCTGCACTGGCTCCTGTGGCTCAGAGAATAGACTTTATAACAGCTCTGTTTGTTACAAGTCTCTCCATGGCCTCGCAGCAAAGTACATCTGTGACATGTTAGTACCATATGAACCAGCCCGGACTCTGAGGAGCACAGGGACTGGCCTCCTGCTGGGACTAGATGGAGCACAGGGACTGGCCTCCTGCTGGGACTCTGAGGAGCACAGGGACTGGCCTCCTGCTGGGACTAGATGGAGCACAGGGACTGGCCTCCTGCTGGGACTCTGAGGAGCACAGGGACTGGCCTCCTGCTGGGACTCTGAGGAGCACAGGGACTGGCCTCCTGCTGGGACTCTGAGGAGCACAGGGGACTGGCCTCCTGCTGGGACTCTGAGGAGCACAGGGACTGGCCTCCTGCTGGGACTCTGAGGAGCACAGGGACTGGCCTGCTGCTGGGACTAGCTGGAGCACAGGGACTGGCCTCCTGCTGGGACTAGATGGAGCACAGGGACTGGCCTCCTGCTGGGACTAGATGGAGCACAGGGACTGGCCTCCTGCTGGGACTAGATGGAGCACGGTATGTTTGGCTGTGTAACAACAGAATTATCGTATTGTTTGTGATTTGAATGTCTCCTGTCTTTATTAGTAAAGTCTGTTTGAGTTTCCTAGTTCTAAACATAACCACTAAAATCTGTATTAACTTCATCTAGCAGCTTGGCTAACCCTGTAAAGCCTGTTTTTATCAACTTAGAAGCACAGCTAACCAGAGCAGAAAAAATACTGTGTGTCTTTAAAGTCTGGAGTATATGTCCTACTGTTGTCCATGTAGGAAATACTCGGTCCAGCACTAAAAATAGTTAGTGACCAGCGCTCTGCATTTACTCCAAACATAAGAAGAAGGTCCAACTTGATCCCACAGGTTTCTACATCTCCTTCATTCTCATTAATACAGAATTAAAACTAATTCATTTATGATTTCATGAACAGAGGTGGCCGGTATAATGTACTGTAGTAACAGTACTTTGTCCTAGTGTCAGTATTTACTACTTTGTTTTGACAACTGCAGGCTCCACATTCACTCATTTCTGCTCCGCACATTAAGATGTGACATAACATAAAACAGGCTTTAGTGTTTACTGTACTTCTCACTGAATTCATTCATTACCTCCAGACCTTTGGCTTATGATATGTTTTGTTCTTCTCTCTGTCAGTGAAAAGGAAGTGTTTAAAACTAACATCAAATATATGTATTACATTATTCAATAAAAAATCCTTTTACGTTTGACTTTACAAGTGAAGTAAAAGTGAAGTAAAAGTACAAGAGGAAAACTTGTAGATGGTTGTACTAGAATCTGTACTTGTTCTGAAGTACCTACCGATTACTTGTCACCTGTGAGAGTAATCGCACTGCTTGAGTCAGGCCTACCCGGGTCCGAGCGTGTCGGGAACGTGTCTATGAATCCAGAGCCTCGTCCGGGGCCCGGACCACAGCTGAGCCGAGGGAGGGACGCCAAACACGGGGAGAGCAGCGGGCTGTCTGCGCTGAGAGGAGGAGCGGAGGGACTGTGACCCGTCCGTGTGTGCGCTCTGGGGGCACGGGGCAGGGGCAAGGGCAAGGGCCCGGGCCGGGAGGGGTGCGCTGCAGAGAGACGCGCTGCTTCCGTTCAGGTTCAATGCAGTAAGAGGCGCGACAGGTGCGCGCCTTGGATCTATTATAATATCTGTGCGCGTCCACATCATGGATCTATTATAATATCTTTGCGCGTCCACATCATGGATCTATTAATATCTGTGCGTGTCCACGTGTGCACGACACTTCGTGCTCATTGTTATATTGTTATCCCTCCTTCCCATCATTTGATGGTGTTAAATGTGAGTGACTTTAAAAGTTTGGATATTCAGAACATTTCATGAATTGTAAATATTTAAACTATGTCGAGTCTGAAATTCAAGTATTCTAAAATGATGTGGCCTCTTTTCATAATAATAATAATAATAACAATGCATCAGTTTTATTTAGCGTCACGTCATTATTCTTTCACTCCGTGATTTGAATGTCTCCTATCTTTATTAGTAAAGTCTGTTTGAGTTTCCTAGTTCTAAACATAACCACTAAAATCTGTATTAACTTCATCTAGCAGCTTGGCTAACCCTGTAAAGCCTGTGTTTATCAACTTAGAAGCACATCTAACCAGAGCAGAAAAAATACTGTGTGTCTTTAAAGTCTGGAGTATATGTCCTACTGTTGTCCATGTAGGAAATACTCGGTCCAGCACTAAAAATAGTTAGTGACCAGCGCTCTGCTTTTACTCCAAACATAAGAAGAAGGTCCAACTTGATCCCACAGGTTTCTACATCTCCTTCATTCTCATTAATACAGAATTAAAACTAATTCATTGATGATTTCATGAACAGACGTGGCCGGTATCATGTACTGTAGTAACAGTACTTTGTCCTAGGCTTTTGTAAATACATGTAAAAGTTTGGATATTCAGAACATTTCATGAATTGTAAATATTTAAACTATGTCGAGTCTGAAATTCAAGTATTCTAAAATGATGTGGCCTCTTTTCATAATAATAATAATAACAATGCATCAGTTTTATATAGCGTCACGTCATTATTCTTTCACTCCATACCCCTGGGGCACACTGACAGAAGCGAGGCAACAGTATGTCCCATCGGCCCCTATGACCCCCACCGACCATTCACACATGCACCATAATCATTCTAATGTGGGTAAAGTGTCTTGCCTAAGGACACATAGGCAGATTGGCACATTACAGCCACAGCCGCCCCACTGTGGTACATGGTGTTCCCAGAGGTCTCCCATCACAGTACTAACCAGGCCTGTCCTGCTTAACTACAGAGGTCTGACAGGATTTGGCTTTTTGTATGCAAATATGATCACAACATGTGTGTGATATGTACCGTAATGTGTTTCATGATGAGAGTGTGATCACCTCTCAGCACAGGTCCACATTCAAAACAAGGTCTTTCTGTGTTGAGTTTGTAATCTCTCCCCGTGTCTGCAGGTTTCCTCTTCATCATCTGGAGATGATCATGTTATGATGATGATAACAATAAACTGGACTGGTCCATAACACCAACGTCCTGTACAAGAAGGGCCAAAGTCTCTTCTTCCTTCTGAGGAGGCTGAGGTCCTTCGGAGTGAGCAGGCCTCTGCTCAGGACTTTTTCTGACTCTGTGGTAGCCTCTGCCATACACACTGCCGTGTTCTGGGCCCCGGGCAGCAAGAGGTGAGGGACAGGAGGCCCCTGGACTCTGTGGAGGAGGTGAGGGACAGGAGGAGTCAAAGTCACCTCCATCATGAACAACACCTCCCACTGCACAGGACTGAAGAGGAGATGGGGAGCTCCTTCAGTGGAAGACTGAGACACAATTATATCCTGAACAGACTATATTTTTGCCTTTAACGTGTTGCACACTTCTGTCTTTTGCACAATCTGAGTAATTCTATCTGTGCCAAATGTGACATGTAAATTTCTCCAGTGTGAGATCAATAAAGTCTATCTTATCTTATCTTATTAAGTTTTGCATTTGGGCCAACAAGTTTTTACTTTTCTTTCACTTATTTGCAGGTTAGATCCAGCTCACATTTCATGGGGGAAAACCAAAGCCAACGTGGGGTCAAGTAACTCCTGTCCGTCACAGCTCAAATGTATCTGTTGGTCCAGGTTTTTGGAAGAAATTGTCTAAAAGAAAATGGTACATGCCTGTTTTTAATATGTGTCTGTCTCTGTGGCGTTAGACATGAAATGGTCTCTGGTCGCAAAACATATCTCCACTGCTGCTGCCACTACCACTGCTACTGCTACTTCTATTCCTACTCCTGCTGCTGCTGCCACTACTACTGCTACTATTCCAACTTCTTGCCGCTTTTATTCTGAAAGCTTGTTTCCGGTGCGGGTGTGTCGGGTGTGGCTGACTTTATGTCCGTGTTTGGACTTCCTCCTCACCTGGAGCTGCTCCTGTGTCACTGCCACATGTCTTTATACTGCCATGAAGTGCGGCACATTCCTCCCACTCGTAGTGATGGTTGTGCACATTCCATGGTGACTGTTTACTCTTCTTCTTCAGTCTGACGCAGTACTGCAGGAATGTTGAAGTACTTCTAACTATATATACTTCTACACGCACCGACTACTGCTGCCAGGACCCTGTCATCTGACGGGAATAGTGGGCTAAAAATAGGACAAACATTGTTCAATCATTTCCGTTGACCAAATATATATTTAATTCAGTTATTTGGCCCCATATAAACCAGACAACTGTAAGATGTCAGTGTTTTTACCTCGACAGCTCAAGCTCAGTTATTTTAGTGTTCACTTGTGCATTGCAGTGTTCAGGTCTCCCATCAGTCTCGACCATGGTCTGCTCTCATCATCTACACTGGTCTACACTGGTCTTGCTCCTCTACTGCCCCCCTCTGGAATGAGTTTGCCAAACACTAAGGAACAACATCTGAAAAAAAATTCACTCTCAAAGGTGCAATTCCAGTAATAACTATAATATTATAAACAGGTGAGACGCCGGTAAAAGGGCCACTATGGTTCATTTTGACTGGATAGGGGCTGTTTTGGGCACAATCCAACACAAATGTCCGTATCTACAAAAAACGACTGAGTTCCAAAGGGGGATGTACAGTTTGTGCCAGTTCCACATGGAGAGGATGGAGCTCTATAGAACTAAAAAGATGATGGACATGTTGTAACACAGTTCAAGATTCAAAGAGACCACTTTGCTCATAGAATAACTTTTATTCACTTACATACATTACAAAGCAGATCTTTTGTATACACTTTGGTTATATCTATCCATAAAAACATATTTTCCCATAAATGCTTTTTTACTTTTTTTTACTTACAATAAAACTTTTTCCATGTGTACATATGACGAGGCAGGATGGCAAAGTGAATATTCCTGGGTCACTGGTACACTGTGACCCGAGAGGTCAGAACTGCCCCGTGTCGGACCAGAAAGACCGGAGTTCAGAGTTCAGGCTCATGTTCTGGATCTAGAACTTTAGTGTCGCTGCTTTGAGACGGTCTTTTATTGTGTTTGTCTTTTCTCTGTTTCATACTTGGGAGAAAGATCCCTGTGAATGACTCTGGAGTCTAGGGTTGAGAGCAGAGGCTGAATGAGGGCGGTCTTCTCTTGTTCACTTTTCTGTCTGATGAAACTAGTGATCTCAAGAGGAGATAAAAGCCAAAAACACATGCATGCGGAAACCAGAGTTGTTTTAGAGCCATAAGCGAGAAAGTTGTGTCATTGTGGTTTGAAAGTGTAAAAATGTTAAATGAAAGTGCAAAATCTCATTCTGGAATTTTCTGTCAACTACAGCCGTGTGGTCGTAAAGAAAAAACAACATTTGTTTTGAAAGGAGAATAAATGGCTTTGAAAATTATTATGATTTAGAATGTGAAATGTGTGCGTAAACATGAAGGCCGGAGGTCAGAGACGATCCACCAGGAAGTAGAAGCAGGAAATCACATTCTGCAAGATTTAGATCAATATGTTACATCTTTTTGAGGCCTTTATTTAGTTAAAAAAAAACAAAAAAAAAACAGGAAAACTGTGTCTGTGTCATGGAGAAGTATCATGACCAATTTAAAAACTGAGCATTTAGACAGAAAGGGAGGGACATTGGATTGGAGAGAGAAAAACACCTGAAAAAGTTTCAACAACACTTGTTCAGGTCTTAAATCTTGTTTATGACCCAGATTACAAAAGATGATTCTCTGCATGTTTCTGATTATTGGTTTTGTTTTGTACGGTTTTGGGAGCAGCCCTTTAGTTTATTGTTATTTTTTCCCTCGACTTCCTGAACTCAAGTCATCTCGTGTCCTATAGAAGTTTTCTGATCTGTTCTGTTCTGATCTGTTCTGTTCTGATCTGTTCTGTTCGGATCTGTTCTGTTCTGATCTGTTCTGTTCTGATCTGTTCTGTTCTGATCTGTTCTGTTCTGATCTGTTCTGTTCTGATCTGTTCTGTTCGGATCTGTTCTGTTCTGATCTGTTCTGTTCTGATCTGTTCTGTTCTGATCTGTTCTGTTCTGATCTGTTCTGTTCTGATCTGTTCTGTTCTGATCTGTTCTGTTCGGATCTGTTCTGTTCTGATCTGTTCTGTTCTGATCTGTTCTGTTCTGATCTGTTCTGTTCTGATCTGTTCGGTGGAATGGAGCTTTTCACACATTAACATGATCTACTTTACATGACAAATCAGATTGTAGTCTGAATGTAATCACAATCATAATACAATCAGATTCAACTCAGATTACAATGGGATTAAACTCAGATTACAATCAGATTAAAATCAGATAACAATGGGATTACAATCTGAGTAAACAGAGACTGCTGCTCCAGACACTGCTCCTGCAGAAACAATGCTCTTTTTGTAAGAACTTTGGCAAATTATAAGAAACACATGAATCATTGTCTCATATGTATAAAAAATAATATAAAAATAAAAAGATATGGCATTATTTGGGATTATGTTGGCCCTTAAACATGATCTTGAGAATACTGACCTTGGCGTTCTTATAGACAGCTTTGTCCACAACTGAAAAGAGATATATATTTTTTTTTTTTTCAGAAAGAACGGGCGGGAGCTGAGCCAGAGCCAGAGCGAGTTTGTTTGTGATAAAGGTGCAACGTTGTGATATGGTTAAATAAATAATAATGTTGAAGAATATGTTTAATATAAAAAGGATATCTAAAGTTCTCTTTGTGTGTCGCTCACGTGTGTGTTTTGTTGACCGTATTAGGATTATATTTTTAGGTGTCTTTAGATCAAGTATTGTTTTTGATGAATTATAATGAGGTATAACATGTCACCAGCGCTCATGAATCCTTCTTTAGGAAGTGATTCCCGTTCATTTAAACAAGTGGAGGCAGTGAACGTGTTGGCGACACTTTGCACGGGACTTTCATAATAGAGCTTTTAAAGAGCTTCATAAAAGCTCCATTAATTGAAACCAGATATTTTTGCACATACTCAGAAAAGATGCTTTAAATGCTGCTCTCTTGTGGTGAACAACACAATCTTAATAATAGTTTGAACATGTTTTATAGACTGTGTGAAAGCTCCTCCTCAGTCTCTCTCTGGGCTGAGAGCTGATTGGCTGATCCTGGTCTTCTCGGTCTCACTTTTCTGAAGAAACTGATTTAAAGATGTAAATTCTTAAAAGCAAGAATTTTATTGTTTTTCTTCACTCTTTTTGAAATTCTAGTTTTAGTTCATAATATTCTCTATTAACCGTGTTGTTAAGAACATTTCCAAAAATCAGGAACCCACACACGTCCCTTCTGTCTAAACGCTCTGCTTTCAAACTTGTTATGCTATGACAAATCCTCAGACTATGTGGATCCTCGATGATGTGGACAGTTTGATACAATTTAAACCAAAGATATTGTTTTAAAATATATATGAATTAACATGTGTAATATTAAAGGTATGGATCAGCATGACATCCCCACTAGACGGGGAGCAGATATGAGGAACACGCAATCTACACTGTACCTAAATCCAGGACCTTCTTGCTGAGAAGAAGGAGCGCTAACCATTTCACATTCTAAAACATGTCTGTAAATTTTCAGACCACTCCCAGAGCGCGCCACGCAACACCAGAGTTTGAATTTCTCTTCTCCCCAAAGCCAGATCAAATGTCCAAACGCTCTGAGTCACCCAAATCCCAGGCAATCAGTTACCCGAGCCCAGAGCGCTGTTTACGTTGGGGCTCCCAGATATGCCTGGCTGTCGCTCAAAAAAAAGCTCCAGTGGTGAAGTTTGATCCCAGGTAACTGTAGAAGCAGAGCCCATGATCGGAGCCTCTGCGTGGGATAGGTGCGGGTGAACAATGGCCTTCTTTGTGGAGCTCAGGCAGGAGGAAAACAAACTGTCCCGTCTCGCTCCCCCCAAAAAGAGATCGGGTTTAGGGGGAATGTGGAGGACCACACAGGGGCTACTGCCCAGAGCCTTGTGTGAGGGGGTTTAAACAATTGGGGTCAAGAACAAATAATGGATAAAAAAAAGGATCAGTATATTAAGGTCAGCAACTCTGATCGTATTTCATTTTAAAAGAATCTTTGACCATGATTGTGTGGCGTAAATATTTTTAAAAAACAATATATGTAAAACAGTCCTTTACTTCCTATAAGACTTTGTCTGTGTATCCAGGATTTCAATTTATTTTGTCCAATTAGGAGGCAGTGGGCGGGGCTAACTGGCACGTGAGCGAAAAAGACACACCCCCATCTAGTGGTGGAAGTGGGAAATTGCATTCTGCATTTGGAATAATTATCAATTTGCACCAAATCGAAGGCTGCAGTTTCGCTCAATTGTCAAATGAAAACTGTGTTTGTGAAAGTAGTTTCAGATATCGCAGTAGATCAGACGCGTCAAAGGGACTCATAATTAAATCATGATGAACACATACATAAGCTCATGATGAGTTCACTAACGATTGGCTCGACGGGTTGCAGGGAATTCCTACATGAATTCATCATTAGTTAATGCAAAAGATTCATCTCTTGAAATAATGAATGAATTATCTTCATTAATGATGATCATCTTCGAACATGAACTCATGATGAACTAGGACTGGACAATAAATCCAACTCATTTGATTAGTCAACGAGAGAAATTAAGGTCAGGATAATATGTCTTCCAGCCTCTGCTTCCCGGGGGTCTGTAGTTTAGCTGTTTACTGTGTACGACAGGGCAGTTCACACGGAACTGTTTTCAAAAAGACATCATTTTTGACGTGTCAGTGTCAGTGCCATGAAATGAAATGAATCCCAAACGGTCATAAAAATACTGTACAAATACAGTATTTTTATGACCGTTTGGGATTCATTTCATTTTTTTTCCTTAAACCCACATTTGTAATATATTGAAAGCTTCTTCATAATTCTGAAAGATGCAGATGTCCATTTTATTTCAACAAGAGCATTAGAGTTTGAAATGCATTTGTTTAGGCCTGGGAGCCATTACAACAAGTTTGGCCAGCAGCACAGATACATGTTTGCCCACGACTGCCACGACTGTCTTCTTCCATTTGTATCGTTTTTGGGTCTATTGGGATTGGAATATCCCCTGATTCTGTGAAAGAATGACTGGTGAAATGTTATTGCACTAAATGTGTTGATGGCCTTTTTATTGGGTTGAGATTCTCTTTGGATTTGGCGATTATTTTTGTCTGTTACGTTTGGCAATATTTGAAATGAATTCTCACAAGCTCAAAGTTCCATGTGCTTCAGAACATAAAGATGAATGCAGGTTAGCAGCTTTCTGTTCGTACTCATTTGTACCTGGCCCCCTCGTGTCCAAAGCAGCAGTCTGCTGGAGTTAAAGTGCATATGACAGCTCTGTTTCCACACTTCAGTGACGTTATACATAAAACCAGAGTTTGGAAAATATCTTAAATGTGCAGAAGGTGGAGCAGAGATCTTGAACTTATGACATCATCTAAGTATTCACCGTAGCGAAGCATAGACGCGTTAGCACCTCTTTACAGTCAATGGCCCTAATGTACAATAATAATGTTGCATTTCAGCAAAACACGCAACATGTTGTGCTGAAACATGTTTGTGAGTGTTGGTGTTTGGTCCTTTCAGGAGTGCTCGTCATGTGCCGCCGAAAAGCACTTTCTTTTTGTGCACGAGCTTCACCCATTTTCAGAAGTCATGGCACCACTTCATGTGTGTGTGAGGCTTCAGTTTAAAGAGTTACGAGTGTGTTGCACATCTATCCGCGACTAAGAGGCTTGTGGCTCTAGGGCCTAAGGATTATTATCATTGATTATTATTGTCAAGTATCAGACTGCACCAAGGCCTTTAGAGCTCTCACTGCACACACAGCCTGTGTTTTACCTGTTGTGAAATGAACATTGGCCAATATTACTTTGCTCTATAATGTGCACCCATAAGGCCTCGTTGTACAGTGCTCACACTACACACAGGTGGATACAGTAAGGATTGATTGAGGACGTTGGGTCCTGCTGCTGTGGACAATGTAGCAGTATAAGACTTAAAGCACTGTCCATTACTATGGCAACACGGCTTCAAACTTTAAAGGCGGGAAAGTTATGTTCTCTCGCTGAATATAGGTCAAAACTTCAGAACATAGGGCTGTTGGAACATGGGTATGTGACCATTCATCCAAGATGAAGTTGGTAAATTCACACATTCACTAAAATCATTAAGAGCAATCATTTGTTGCTCCGGACAGCATTTCTCCATGACGATTAGAGCTAACTCAAACATGCTCCATGGGTGATTATAGGTATCTTAATTAAGCTAAAATAAGTTTTTAGAAAGTAGTCGGATGAGATTAAGTTAGCAACGAGCAGATTTCTCTACATAAAACATACATAAGTCTGAGTGTGTGAATGACAAGGTAAAACAGCTAGAACATGATAAACTGTTTTCACTGTTGTAGTGAAATGTGTGCTGTAATCTGTCATACGCACTTTAACATTCAACCATAAATGTGGCATAAAGAACACAAATCAAAGCAACATCATTTTCAAAATGTGGCAATACACTTCAAAGACTTAATGTGTTTCTGAAGAGTCTCGCCCAGAAGCCCTCTTTGGTCCGGGACATGGGGTCTGAGCCCTGCTGATCCACAGGCAGAGCGGAGGAGCAGTACAGGAGCTAGGCCACTGGGGGGAGCTCTCTCTGGCACTGCCATTCATAGCACAAGGAATCTGCACAGGAGACAGAGACACTGGTCATAATTCAAATAGTCACAAAATGCTGAATGTTTTAATGCATTCTGTATTCTGAATCATTCACATTTATTTACAAATTACAATATTGTTATTTAATTATTCATGTGATACGAACGAACCAGATACACAATCTTTAGTTTTTTAGCATTATACATTATCAACACCTGTCCAGTGTCATAAGAGGCTGTACTAACATCTTTGAATGTCTTCAAGGATGTTTGGCCAAATTGTTGTATCATGTTATATAATTGTTTTTAAATACATATGCATTGTTTGTCTAAATGGAAAGCGTCTTGCGTCTCTACTGAGTTTGAGTGGCTTCAGACTTGTTTATTCCTGTTTTTGTCGACACATTAGTCTTCCTCTACACAATCATATAGAGAAGTATCACTCTTAGATCAATATCACATTTGTACAAACTCATGTTGCCTTTAGAAAAACAAACTGCTCTTTTGAACTATATCAGATTACTTACTCACTTTCCCCAGAACACCCTAATCCACTGGTGCTTATCCAAACAGAGCTTTCAGTGCCGTCCCGCTCGCATCACTGGGGACACCAAACCAGGAACATCTGGGCCCTGTCCCTCTCTCCCACAGCCCCCCACACACACATAGGATCAAACATAAACAAGAGGGGCGCAGCAGGGGGGTCCACTATCCCCTCTCTTCTTTCCCTCTGTCCCAATGCGCTTGGCTTTCAAACACTCAGCGAATACCCAAGTGGAGGGCTCCTGTTACACGGGGCTATAAAGTGTCCCAAATAAAGGCAGGGGAAACTGAGAGCTGTACTTCCTGGGGTGAGATAGTTCGGCCCATTCCATTACTTTGCAGAGGGAGGGGGCGCTGCGTGTGTGGATGAGATGGTCGAGGACAAGGCCGATAGAAGCACTGGATAATGGTAAAGTTGTTATCAAGATCATACATCTAAATCTAATCCCGGCAGACCTCAGACCCGAACCCAAAGCGAGCGTGGGATCTGTGGCTTTCCCAAAGAAGGATAAAGATGTGGATGTGATTGATGAGCGTGTCAACGAGAATGCCACGGATGCGTTCGTTTTCTCCGTTCAGACCAGGGCTGGAAGCTGCGCAAGCAACGTAGGACAACTATGAAATGAAGAGTATAGACTATGGGGAATAATTTGATACATATTTGTGGAAAATGTATATAAAAATAGATTTATATTCTTGATAATTTTTAGATCTGCTTTTGCTTGAGCGTTTTTGGAAAATTCTGTTATTGTTTATTTATGTATTTGTTCTGCTTTCTGATCTTTAATTTCACGCCTTGAACATGCACAAAAACGGTTTTTTTCATGAGACTAAAAAAATTTCACCCACAAAAGACAGTTGTGATTGGTAACACTATGTGGCGCACACTTTTTACTGATTTAGACTATTCCAAATGAACTCCTCTTTGCACATTTTAAGTCCGATTTGCTCGACATTTGAACCGGTTGTTCCTCCTGGGCCTGGGTTTTCTGATTGTGGAAAAAGAAAAAGTGCAGAAGAAGAAGTGCAAAGTGCTTTTCCATCTCTACAGCACCTGGTTGAATAGTCCCTGAAGGATTGAACGATGCAGTGACACCGTCTAGAGCTGCTCTGTGTCTGCTCTGTGTCTGCTCTGTGTCTGCTCTGTGTCTGCTCTGTGCCTGCTCTGTGTCTGCTCTGTGTCTGCTCTGTGTCTGCTCTGTGTCTGCTCTGTGCCTGCTCTGTGTCTGCTCTGTGCCTGCTCTGTGTCTGCTCTGTGCCTGCTCTGTGTCTGCTCTGTACCTGCTCTGTGTCTGCTCTGTGCCTGGTCTATGTTTGCCCTGTGTTTGCTCTGTGTCTGCTCTGTGTCTGGTCTATGTTTGCTCTGTGTCTGCTCTGTGTCTGCTCTGTGCCTGCTCTGTGTCTGCTCTGTGCCTGGTCTATGTTTGCCCTGTGTTTGCTCTGTGTCTGCTCTGTGTCTGGTCTATGTTTGCTCTGTGTCTGCTCTGTGTTTGCTCTGTGTCTGCTCTGTGTCTGGTCTATGTTTGCTCTGTGTTTGCTCTGTGTCTGCTCTGTGTCTGCTCTGTGCCTGCTCTGTGTCTGCTCTGTGCCTGCTCTGTGCCTGCTCTGTGTCTGCTCTGTGTCTGCTCTGTGCCTGCTGTGTCTGCTCTGTGTCTGCTCTGTGTCTGCTCTGTGCCTGCTCTGTGTCTGCTCTGTGTCTGCTCTGTGCCTGCTCTGTATCTGCTCTGTGCCTGCTCTGTGTCTGCTCTGTGTCTGCTCTGTGCCTGCTCTGTGTCTGCTCTGTGTCTGCTCTGTGCCTGCTCTGTGTCTGCTATGTGTCTGCTCTGTGTCTGGTCTATGTTTGCTCTGTGTTTGCTCTGTGTCTGCTCTATGTTTGCTCTGTGTTTGCTCTGTGTCTGCTCTGTGTCTGCTCTGTGCCTGCTCTGTGTCTTCTATGTTTGCTCTGTGTCTGCTCTGTGCCTGCTCTGTGTCTGCTCTGCGCCTGTTCTGTGCCTGCTCTGCGCCTGCTCTGTGTCTGCTCTGTGTCTGCTCTGTGTCTGCTCTATGTTTGCTCTGTGTCTGCTCTGTGCCTGCTCTGTGTCTGTTCTGTGCCTGCTCTGTGTCTGCTCTGTGCCTGCTCTGTGTCTGCTCTGTGTCTGCTCTGTGCCTGCTCTGTGTCTGCTCTGTGTCTGGGCTATGTTTGCTCTGTGTCTGCTCTGTGTCTGCTCTGTGCCTGCTCTGTGTCTGCTCTGTGTCTGGTCTATGTTTGCTCTGTGTCTGCTCTGTGTCTGCTCTGTGCCTGCTCTGTGTCTGCTCTGTGCCTGCTCTGTGTCTGCTTTGTGTCTTCTATGTTTGCTCTGTGTCTGCTCTGTGCCTGCTCTGTGTCTGATCTGTGTCTGCTCTGTGTCTGTGACTCTGTGTCTGCTCTGTGCTCTGTGTCTGCTCTGTACTCTGTGTCTGCTCTGTGCTCTATGTCTGCTCTGTGTTTGCTCTGTGTCTGCTCTGTGCCTGCTCTGTGTCTGCTCTGTGCCTGCTCTGTGTCTGCTCTGTGTCTGCTCTGTGTCTGCTCTGTGCTCTGTGACTCTGTGTCTGCGTACGGAGGTCAAGGACAAAACCAATTTTGAGTTAAAAAATATCTATACATATATTGCTACAGGTGGTGAAATTAAAAAAGTATAGGGTGCCTAAAATTATGCACATGCCTAATTTGGATTAAATAATTCTTGAAAACGTTCTGTAAATTATATAAACTTTATTTTACTTCTCAAATATCACTGTTTGTTTCTTTATATTTAACTGAAATTTATCATTCAAACGACCAATGATTTATCAGTTAAATGGTGTGCGTGCGGCAGACTGGGATTTTTTGGCAGTTTAACAGTACTCTTACTACATTCTGACAGTGTAACAGTACTCATACTACATTCTGACAGTGTAACAGTACTCATACTACATTCTGACAGTGTAGCAGTACTCTTACTACATTCTGACAGTGTAACAGTACTCATACTACATTCTGACAGTGTAGCAGTACTCTTACTACATTCTGACAGTGTAACAGTACTCTTACTACATTCTGACAGTGTAACAGTACTCATACTACATTCTGACAGTGTAACAGTACTCATACTACATTCTGACAGTGTAACAGTACTCTTACTACATTCTGACAGTGTATCAGTACTCTTACTACATTCTGACAGTGTAGCAGTACTCTTACTACATTCTGACAGTGTATCAGTACTCTTACTACATTCTGACAGTGTAGCAGTACTCTTACTACATTCTGACAGTGTAACAGTACTCATACTACATTCTGACAGTGTAACAGTACTCATACTACATTCTGAAAGTGTAACAGTACTCTTACTACATTCTGACAGTGTAACAGTACTCATACTACATTCTGACAGTGTAACAGTACTCATACTACATTCTGACAGTGTAGCAGTACTCTTACTACATTCTGACAGTGTAACAGTACTCATACTACATTCTGACAGTGTAACAGTACTCATACTACATTCTGACAGTGTAACAGTACTCATACTACATTCTGACAGTGTAGCAGTACTCTTACTACATTCTGACAGTGTAACAGTACTCATACTACATTCTGACAGTGTAACAGTACTCTTACTACATTCTGACAGTGTATCAGTACTCTTACTACATTCTGACAGTGTATCAGTACTCTTACTATAGTTGCATATTTGTACTTTCACTTCAGATTTTCATTTCAGACACTCACTAATAACAGAATAATATATTGACTACTTTGTACTTAATTGCACACTCCACTCAAGACTATAACTGTGGTGTTTCTTCTGTACTTACTCATATGAGTAATTTCTCGACATCTCTCTCTCCTCATCCCTGTCATGAGAAAGTCCGTCTGCCGACTGTGACCTTTGGGTGGACACCTGATGTGGAGGAGGAATGGAGCGCTCTTTGTCGCAGGCTGGTAATGTGAGCTGAGCATGGAAAGATACCAGTGGAAAGAGGAGCGTGTGTTTGGGAAGCAGACCCCAGACGGAGCTCACACTGAAGGAACACTGGGACTTTTGATTGAGGTTTCACACTAATAACAACAACGTGTGGCAGTGAGAGGAGGAGTCCAGGGTTCACTGTAACTACAGCAGTGTAGAGTCAGTGATGCTAGTTTATTTGATTATTATGAAATTTCAGAATTGTCATGTTTTCACAGAATCCGTGGTAGTTATGGTCAAATAGCACAGTTTACGGTTGTCACACTTTCAGACCAACAGCAGCACATGGAGGAAATGGTAAAAAGGCACAACTTTACTTTCTGGAACGGAAGATTTCTCCGAGCATGAGAATAATATCCTTATTTACAAAATAATGAATACATATGAACAAATATTCAAAAGCATCAAAGCACACTTCTGAAAGCATCAGCAATATTGAGTGCAAAAAGAGACAGAGTTTTGAGGTGGAGAATCCAAATTCAAAGTTTCCACCTCTAGGAGTCAGTTTGACATGTTCGATTCCAAAATACCGTTCTAAAGAGATGGGACAAATTCTACAACGAAATGTGAGCCAAAACTGGGAACACCAGACTGGATTCACCACCTTAAAAACTCAATATTGACTATGATTTAGGATTATCTCTGTGATGCTAATTACTTTGAATTGTATGTATATATTGTAACTGTATATAAAGTAACGGTAGTGTTTTTTCTTGATTGAAGCAGCACAGGCGGAGCATACTGTACTTTTAGAGGCAGATGCTTATAAGTATTTCTTTCCTGCCAAGAAAATGTGAAAACAGAGCACATGTGATCATAACACCCCCATATGAATCCGCGGTACATAACGGCTCAATGGTTGCTGTTATGCTAGATCTTGGTTTGATTAAGTCTGAGCACCCCTGCAGGAACCAGGAACTAGACAGATTGAAATGTATACGAAAGATGTAAACATGAAGACAGAAAGGGCAGGGGTTTGTGTGGATGGATCTAAAAACAACTACATGTGGAAAAATGCTGTAACATGGTTAAAAGGGGAGAAAGTAAATGGTTATTTTTCAGAACATAGATGTTTTAGACTTATGGGGGGAGCAGACGGACACTTCCTGCCTGGTTTGGTTACTAAACAGCACGGCGCCATGCACAGGCCGAGTATCCCCGAAAGCAAGCCCTCCTCAGGGCTCTAGAGTTACAGTGAGGGTGGGTGTGTAGAAAGTCACTTTGAAAGACTATCGCCTCACCACAAAGTGACGCGCACAATGCTTGTTTGCATAGCTGCTTGTTTTGTAGACACAGTTTGGGGATATTTGATTAGGCAAAAAGACACCACCGAACTGAAGCAGAAGAGATGTGGCTGTGGTTAGGAGAAAGTACAAATGAAAAATCCTTTTGGGTCGGATTTGGTGAATACACATTTTTACTCTTTGTGATTCTGGTTTGATAACAGTGAAAACATGAACAAATAAACACTTTCTTTTACTGAGAAGAACAATTTAATATTGTTCAATCTGCAGTGACACATGTGTTAAAATTCTCCTGCGACATTCACTGATTGATATGAACCTTCTAACTTCATAAGCACTTTTTTCTGAATGCGTTTTACACATTACATATCACGGTAAATATTCTCAAAATCATAGTATAATGCTGGGGTACAAGCCTTCTCGCTCAAAGGCTTTGTGTGTTGAAAGATTATAGAAAGAAGGATTCGTCAGAGTGTAACAAGTTTGAGATACGAGGATTTCGACAAATGCTCCTGATGCTTTAGTAAATGAAATGGAGCTAAAAACAACTCCAGCTCTGTGTGAAGGAGAGGTTCTGTTCCTGCTGCTGTCAGACTGTACAATGAGAACTGCTGAGTCGGTGCCATTCACCTGTTCTGATAATCCATTAAAACATTATTACATATTCCATTAATCTGATAATTCACTTTACCTACTGCTATTATTATTATTGTTTATTCTGGTCTCATTCTCTACTGCTAAAGTACAATATAAAAAAAACATCTGTAAATATCTGATGAAGCTGCTAACGACAGCGACTACAAGTGACTTATATTTGAACCAAGTGCAATTACAGCTCCAGAGTTTTAAATGTATTTGCTTATTATTTTAGTGTCAATTATCTGAAATAACAGATATTGTGTGACGTGTGCATAACCTGAGTTTCTCCTTTCATTCTGCTGTGATGTGTGCAACGGTGACATTGAAATTTCCCCACAAAGGAACAAATAAAAGTTTATCTTTTTTATCTTTTTGATGAGGGAAGAATGTGGTAGCAGGGTTCAAACTCAGCTCGTGGATAACTGCAAAGGCTCATACTGTATGTTTTATCAGAGGTAAACTTTCTGTTGATCATATTGACAAAGACAACCATCGGCCTGAGACGGGAGCATCGAGGCGTGACGGTGTGTGCAGTGATCCCGCAGTGGTGGAAACAGTGTGTCACTGGCAGCCGGTGGAAGGGCTGCTCATGTTTTTGGCATGGGAGCTGCCCGAGTAGGAAAGCACCCCCAGTGGATTACAGCGGTATGTCACTGAGAGAGCATAAAACGTATCTTATCTGGACACAAAGACACTGGTACTAGTCATGGGTCACCTGACATTTTCCCACCGTTTTTTATCTATAGAGAGAATCAAAACTTACAACATGCCTCTTCCAACGCAGCCTGAATTTGTGAAAAAGAACCCATCACTTTTGACTATTGATGTATGATGTAAAATACAGACATACGGAAACTTCTTATTTAGTGAGCTACCCGACAGCAATCAAATGTATGACTTAAGTAAGAGTACTGTTGCACTGTCACATACACAACTGTCGTAAGAGTGTGAGAAACCAAACAAACTCTACAGAAACGACTTTACCAACATCGTAGAGAAAACTCTAGTGGGCCACAGTCGGCTGTTCATCTCCACCTCAAGGCCTCCAACCACACGGTGGATGACACAGAGGTTAAAATTCTGGCTCAGGAGAAGAATTGGTTTGAGAGAGGAGTGAAAGAAGCCATTTTTGTGAGGAAACAAAAACCTTCTCTTAACAGAGGAGGAGGGTTAAGATTTGTTTTGCCTCGCATCTATGACGACATCCTAAAAACAACGCCCTAACTTGGGACAAGGTCAGTGACATGCTAATGAGTTAGGAGGGGTGAGACCTGCACTACACTTGAGCATCCCAGCAGACAATAGGTCTGTGACATGCTAAGGAGTTAGGGTCGTTAGCCTCAGCAGGGTCGTTAGACCTGCTCCCTTCTACATCAGACCTTAGATTGTTTATGAGTTAGTATCAGGATTAGGGTGTGGCTAACCACACCCATAGGGTATAAATCTCCAACGCGCGGTCCGAGAATTCATTCCCTGAAGAAGTCCGCTAGTTTGAGGACGAAACGTCGGGAAAACTTGCTTAGAAGTACAGATGATGGGTGAGAAACCTTCCTTTGCTTTGACTAATCCCTGTACGACTGAGGGCTTACACAAACGTAAGAGTGTGGTTACACTGTCAATTACACAACTGAAATAAGAAGATCTTGTGTTTCTGGCTAGTCAGGATACGATAACAATGTGTTGTGTGTGCATTGCTATTGTGAAAGATCTACACAAATCAACCTCATCACAATTTCCCCCGACATCCAACTCCCCTTCTTACCTCCATACGTTTTACTTGTTTTGCTCCCGTAGACGTAGACACCTCCTCTTCAGCGCCGGCTCCATGTCCCCACCAGCAGGGAGCGCCGTAGCTGGTATCCTTAGGCTGCCCTTGTCCCTGAGCTTGGGCAGGAGAAGTGGGGTGCTAGCTGAGACCGCTGCGGTGACCTCTGTGGTGACTACTGTACCGGGGCTTGGCGTTGAGGTTCCACTCGGTTTTGGCGTTGTCGGGAGGGCGTAGGCGTGATCCTCATCCGGCACGTGCGGGTCATCTCCAACTTCTCCAACATTTACTGGTTCATCTACTCGGTTTTTGACATGTCGGCATTTGTTTTCTGTGACTTCTTCCAAGTTAGGAAGTGTAGGTAAAGGAGATTTGGAACTACTCGGAGATTTGGCCATTCTGTTTGTGGCAATTTTATCTGATTTCAAATACACTATTTCATGTGTTTGGCTAGCAGGGTCCGGACTACGGTCGGGGTTTTTGAGGTGATAGATTGTGTTTGGGGGAGGAGACTGCGAAACAGATCGGATAACCCCAAAATCGACCGCAGCACCATTGGCACTTGGTTCTACCTTCACTTGGCTTCTATGCCACACTCTCTGTATGACATGCCTTTCTGTGGATGGCTTATAATCAAAGTTTTCCGAAGCAGGAGACGAGACTAAACTGTTGGGCGTTGAAGATGGCGATGGGAATGATCGTTCAAATTTTACCCAATCTTTTGCTGTGCTGTCAGGCGAGGGTGAATCCTGCCGTCTGGCTAACTCATCCTCATTTTCTTCTGGCGTTTGCGGCCTTGCGACTCGAAATCTCAACCTGTCTAAACCGTCCGGAACTGGTTGGATCACCCCACTGTGACTTGACGAGTGTTCCTTGTTCGACTTGAGCGGTATTGGGATTGGAATCGGTATAGGCACCGGAAGAGGGATTATCACCGGGTATGGAACGAGTATCGTAGGATGGGGAAGTAATGGGCTAAAAGACGGCATGCCGAAATTCATACCGGGAGGCATTGGCGGAACGGACGGAACCGGAAGTCGCGGCATCATGTTCATCGGCGGAGAATGCAAACCTGGGAAATATGCTCCGGGGAATGGGTGCATGAGACCGGGCGGGTTCATGGGGGGTTGTAAGTGGGGCGAATGCGGGTGTCTGTGGATGGGGCTAGAGGGCGGACCGGGATGTCGCATTGGGTGGGTCAGTGGACTCTTAAGCCCTTGCGCATGCAGGGGAGGTCGAATGAATGACGCCTGTATTGGAGGACCATGCGGGTGTGGGTGGTCTACCATATGACGTGGAGGCAAGTGTGGGACCGGGCTAGGGTGGGGCGTAGCGGTTATGGTAGCAGGGTGAACAGGAGTTTGCGTTTGAGGGGTTCTATCTAAAGTTCGTGACCCGGATGGTTTCGCTTCTAAAGAGGATTCGTTGGTGATTTTGGGCGATAATTTTCTATGCTTGGTTTCACCGTTGCTCCCAGTCCACGATTCCGGAGTGAGGAGCTTTTGAGGAGTGCCGTTTTTGCCTTCTGAAGAATGTCCCTCTCGGCTCGGGCTGGATTCGGGGTCGGACTTGGCGTTGCTGGAAGTGGAGAGAGCGGCGCGGGCCTCTCTGTAGAACACGTCCATCTTGTACTGGTTGAGGCACTTGGTGGAGCAGAACTGGAGACGCTCCTCGCCCGCCCCGAAGTCCAGGTATTCTTTGGTGTAGCGCACATGTTTGCACCAGTCACAGGCCTGCGACACAGGGGACAAAGACTGCGGAGGGTCAGATGCGGAAACACTGGAATTGGACTTTCAAGATTCTGCTGACAATGCGTGTGAAGTTTTGTGTGTGGTCTGTGTGTTTAGGGAAAAAAAACAAATGTATATGTTTAATGTTAGGCATTTGGTCTTTCAGTGCCTTTAAACTAAAATGTCGAGTCAATTTGTCCGAAGCTTGTTTGTAGATGATAAATTCCTTCAAAAGAATTCCCATCACATCCTGCTTTTATAGTAGCTTGGTCGCTTTAAAAATGTGCACATAGGGAAACCAGAAGGAGGGACCTCGAAACCAAGTACCATTTACAATACTCTATGTTTAAAAAGAAATCTGATTCCACAACTTCAAACCTCCAACTTCTTCCGGCTGTGTATGTGTTGATTGACTTTTTCAGTACTTCTATTTTTGGTGCGTTCAGACTTTGGGGACCTCTACTCAGGGAATGGCTCTTTCAGTCAGATCAGAAACTACACAGTTGGTCTTTTTTATTTAGATGCATTTGCTTCTTTTGTGCAGTGCAGTGTGAGTGTGAGCAAATACCCTGTGGTCTTATCTATAAAGCTTACACATGTAAAGTCTGTGATCTATAAAAGAAACACTTGACATGACTAAGTGTCTCCCCATGAGCCCCTCCCTCTGATCCCCCACATGTCAGTCAGACATGGCTGACTGACTGGCTCATTATCGCCCCGTGTTTATGTACATGTCATTTACACAGTTACTTTGCATGTCCTTATATGGTGCAATGGTATAGTGGAACTAGAGGTGTGAAGAGGGGTGGTCTGTCCATATTAATTAGGGATTAAAAAGAGATACATTCTACAAATTATTTTGAAACAACTTATAATTACCCCTCTGAATAATAGTTTTTCCAGTTTCGTTTTTTTTTTTTTTTTGCTTTTCTTTTGTATCATTGATTTTGTATCTTCAAGATGCCCAAAAAAACAGACTTATTTTTATTATTATAATCATTATAATAGTAATAGTAACACTCGCAGAATAGACACAATAACTGGTGGTAGTGTTGGGAGCTTACCCGAACAGAGCTGTTTGTCTTCAGCACGAGTCTGGTGGAGTCGTCGGTGAGTGGAGGCTGTGGAGAGCGCTCACTCTGGAGGTCCTCGTCCCGGGCCTAAAACAAATAGAACAACATGACATTCATGACTGGAGTGATTGGAATGGACACAGATGAAATGGAAGTGACAAACATCACGACAGTTAAAGAACAAATACATGTGTCAGGGAATAACAAGACCGGGACAGGATTTGGTGATAGGGACAACTCCTGTTTTGAAGTCACATTGAAAAACAGAGCAGCCATAGGGCGAGGAGGGATTTTTGCTGGTGGGCCGATGGAGACTGGCCTCTGGAAAGTTCCCACAGCGCAGGCTCCTACACACACTAACACACTCTTCCTCTTCATAGTGCATTCCTTTCACCATGTATAAAAGGCTCACAACACATCCATAGTGACTGCGTTCATGAGAGTTTTAAATGAAGCACATTTTCTAAATAAAATGTGTGTTGATGCAGTTTGTTTTTACTTAGAATTCAGGATGAGCAAACTTAAAAACAAGATACATGTCATTGTTGTCAGGACCAGGACAGTGCCAGGACATGAGCACACACAGCCGGGCTGAGGCTAAAAGCAGAAGAACACTTTTGTCTCTGCCCTCATCAGTGTGTAATCAATATAAAGTTCTTACAGACTGAGAGGGAGGTACGGTGCCTGATCATCCTGCTGTCGAAGGATTATTAAATACTTTACTAAGACTTCATTAACAAAACAGTTTTTTTATTATCTTATTGTGTACAAAATGTATATCATAAAATGTCAGCAGTAGCACCATCTGCTGGCGCCAGTAGGAATTACAACCCCCCAATTAGCATGCAGTTAAGTATATATAATATAATTTAACAAAGAAGCAATGATTAAATGTAGTTGGCTTTGGATTTGTAGTTTGGCTTTACTATAACATGGTCAAAAGTTTAATTTTCTGTTTAAACCCTGTATTTCCTCTGATCTTTCCCTTAAAACCAGTGCTTTGCAGAGAGATAAAGCCGGGCCTGGCACACACAAAGAGCATGGGAGCAGAGGTGCAGCAGAGGTGACCGGTTGGATCCTGTGGAGAAGGTGAGAAGGCCGATCGTGTTCCATAAACAGATCTGTATGCTGCGTTCAGAGGATGATGTTTCTGAAATGTGAGCATGTGGTGAGGGCGAGAGGCCCTGCACAGGCAACAGTATCAGCTGGGATTTACACACAGGCAAATATCACAGAGCATCCACCAGCAGACAAACTCACATTGTCCTGGGCCATTCCTTCACACATTTGTCTATGCAGTGTAGTGGTATAAGGGACATATCATGAAGTTCAACTTTTCACATTATTCATATAAGTGTGGTCCAGATCAAGGAAAGAAGATCAATATAAACTTCTCATGGACTGATTTTACTCTGAGAATGAGAATGCTGTATTAGAAGCAACAGTGAGGGTTGACCCAGTCTCTGGTCTGAGCTCACACTGAGTCCGGACGTGATCCAAACCAACTCCTGTTTTCTATGGAGCTATTATTGTTTCAACAATATTTGTGTGTGTGTAACCAGATTTAATAACTCTATAGTTTACAGCACTGGAGCTGACGGATCCACTGTGAGCAGCTGTTTGTGTAAAACATGGACCAGGTCAGGACTGGATCCACCAGGATTCAATGTGAGCACAGGCTTAGCGAGGCTGCACATTTTTGATGGAGCAGAAAGGGAACTTAGCGGCAAGTCCCCCAAACACGTCTTGTTCTGGTAATTGTGATCTTGGATTCATTCCCAGTGAGACGGACAAAGGATTATCTATTGTTATTATTCTTATAAAATGTATTATTATTTTGCATCTGATGTCTATATATAATATTTTAACTCAGTTAACTAGCAAGGTACTAAAAGTAAAATCCAATCATTTCAAGACAAATTTAAAATACTTTTGATCAAAATCTAAATCATAGATGAAAATGAAACCCTGTTTTTGTTGTTTTTATTCCATTATTTATAATTTCTTTTACATTTGCCTTTTAAGAAGCAGAGTGTTCATTGTATATAATGTTTGGGTTGGCCTGTTTCAGTCTCGGACTGATGCATTTTGCCAATATTTTGGTATCATTGCATTAAAGTGTAATTGGGCTCCTTTTTTAAATCATCTCTGGGTGTTGCCACCAGGTTCCTGCTTTAAAAGTAGAGAATGGGTGGAAGTAGAGGAGGAGTTCAGGCTTCACATGGGAAACCCTTCACAGACGAAGGAATGAGCTGAAAGCGGACCCCAGCCCCGGGCCACAAAGTGACAAACTCGGCCCAACACGCAGCGCAGGGAGGTAGTGGGTCAGAAGGAGGCTGCAGAACCAGGCAAACCTCCACTACTTTAACAGATACAGTGTATCTGCTACACAATGACAAATGTGTGGAATATGTATCCCCTTCGTAATGAATGAAAGCATTTAACAAAATAAAATCAGTCTGTAATGACTTTACTGTTTATTGATCAGAAGATTTGAGTGGTTGTGATCACTGTCGCTGTGATATTCACACTTATTGTGTTCTGAACTCCACCAATATTTCACTCAAACAACACACAGATCTGTGGGAAAACTCACACAAACTCATGTTGGGAGGGAAAAGGGCTCTGTCCCTATTACCCGGGGGCTGTAAGCAAACTCATGGGGTTCCATGAGCACTCACACATATTGGATTATGGCTTTGAATAAGGACTTTCACTTTTGGCCCCTCCCTCTCCTGCTGGAGGCTCGCAACGAAGCGGACTGCGGCTGTGACAAGCTGCTGTCTAGGTTTGACTGCTGTGGCCGTGGCGGTAACACGGTGAGAGCGAGCTGACCATGTGGCGTGTGTGTGGTGACATAGTAAAAGTGCTCTGACCTTGTTGCGTTTGAAGTAGGCGCGTCTGCAGGCGGCGAAACACTTCTCGCTGCAAAAGCTCTTGAGCTCGGAGCCCATACAAAGGGAGTAGCGCTTCACCCCCTCCTTCTGACACCACACACACACAATCTGCACGGCATGGGCCTCCTCCACTGTGGATGCACAGCACACACACTTAGTACTTTTCGGACACACAACACACCCACTTCACCACGGCGAACACAAACACTGTAGACACACAACACACAGCACACTATGGACACACAACATACAGTGGACACACAACACACTGTAGACACACAACACACAATGTGGGCATGGTCGGCTGGAAATGCCAGTGTTGTTACACACAGCACACAGCAGTGGGAACAGGAAGCACTCACAGCACTGACCTGCAGAGGGCTTGATGAGTGGCACGATGACCGGGGCACTGCTGGGCTCTTTGGGAACACTGATGGAGGAGGAGGAAGAGGAGGAAGAGGAGGATGTGGAGGAGGACGACACTGGGACACTGGACACGTCTCGGTCTGCTCCATTCATAGTGGGCGGGGCACAGGCTTTGGACTCTTTGGCTTTTGGCACCGAGTTTTCTGCAACAACATAAAGGCTTTGTGTCAATGTCCACAACAAATGATCTTTGCATTTTATATTCAAGAACAATTTAACAAATCCTCAAACTAAATGAATCAATTATTATTAGGAAAACTGTTTGAAAAAAGGCACAAAACAGCTCAGTCCAAACTTGCTGTGATACGTCACAGATAATGTGAGAACAGAGCATTGAGACGGGGCTTTAGGGTCAGAACAGAAGGAGGGTTGACTGTCAGCAAACGTATTCATTCACACTGTGTATCTGTACATTTCTGATCGTACAAAACACTCATTGACAACATCTAGTTAGAAAATCTGTTATCTTGTGCTTACATGTGAGAAAGATCCCTGATTGGCTGAGGGAGGGTGGACCTCTCTTTTGCAAGTGAAATCTAGTGACGGAACCAAACTGATTTAGAGCTAGGAATGAGTTACATGGAATTTCCCTCTCACTCACTCCTCACTCACTCCTCACTCCCCTCACCCCCCCTCACTCTGCTCACCCTCTCACCCCTCCTCACCCCCTCCTCACCCCCCTCCCACCTGCATTTCCAGTAAAGTGATACATGAAGATGATATGAGCCTATCCATAACTGAGCAAACAGCAGCAGCCGCGGTGACTGAAGCTGCCACCGGATACTCTCCAGGACTTTACTCAAACAAAAGATGTCTGTGTTTTAGTGCAACATGATCAGTCTGAGGCACAACCACTCCTCCTCTGTCCTCCTCTGTCCTCCTCTGTCCTCCTCTGTCCTCCTCTGTCCTCCTCTGTCTCTCCTCTGTCCTCCTCTGTCTCTCCTCTGTCCTCCTCTGTCCTCCTCTGTCTCTCCTCTGTCCTCCTCTGTCCTCCTCTGTCCTCCTCTGTCCTCTGTCCTCCTATGTCCTCCTCTGTCTCTCCTCTGTCCTCCTCTGTCCTCCTCTCTGTCCTCTGTCCTCTGTCCTCCTCTGTCCTCCTCTGTCTCTCCTCTGTCCTCCTCTGTCCTCTTCTGTCCTCCTCTGTCTCCTCTGTCCTCCTCTCTGTCCTCTGTCCTCCTCTCTGTCCTCTGTGTCCTCATCTGTCTCTCCTCTGTCCTCCTCTGTCTCTCCTCTGTCCTCCTCTGTCCTCCTCTGTCCTCCTCTGTCTCTCCTCTGTCCTATGTCCTCCTCTGTCCTCTTCTGTCCTCTTCTGTCTCTCCTCTGTCCTCCTCTGTCCTCCTCTGTCTCTCCTCTGTCCTCCTCTCTGTCCTCTGTCCTCCTCTGTCCTCTGTCCTCCTCTGTCCTCCTCTGTCCTCCTCTCTGTCCTCTGTCTTCCTCTGTCCTCTGTCCTCCTCTGTCTCCTCTGTCTCTCCTCTGTCCTCCTCTGTCTCTCCTCTGTCCTCCTCTGTCCTCCTCTGTCCTCCTCTGTCTCTCCTCTGTCCTCCTCTGTCCTCCTCTGTCTCTCCTCTGTCCTCCTCTGTCCTCTGTCTCTCCTCTGTCCTCCTCTGTCCTCTTCTGTCCTCCTCTGTCTCCTCTGTCCTCCTCTGTCCTCCTCTCTGTCCTCTGTCCTCCTCTGTCTCTCCTCTGTCCTCCTCTGTCCTCTTCTGTCCTCCTCTGTCCTCCTCTGTTCTCCTCTGTCCTCCTCTCTGTCCTCTGTCCTCCTCTGTCCTCCTCTGTCCTCTTCTGTCTCTCCTCTGTCCTCCTCTGTCCTCCTCTGTCTCTCCTCTGTCCTCCTCTGTCTCTCCTCTGTCCTCTGTCCTCCTCTGTCCTCCTCTGTCTCTCCTCTGTCCTCCTCTGTCTCTCCTCTGTCCTCCTCTGTCCTCCTCTGTCTCTCCTCTGTCCTCCTCTGTCCTCCTCTGTCTCTCCTCTGTCCTCCCCTGTCTCTCCTCTGTCCTCCTCTGTCTCTCCTCTGTCCTCTGTCCTCCTCTGTCCTCTTCTGTCTCTCCTCTGTCCTCCTCTGTCCTCCTCTGTCTCTCCTCTGTCCTCTGTCCTCCTCTGTCCTCCTCTGTCTCTCCTCTGTCCTCTGTCCTCCTCGGTCCTCTTCTGTCTCTCCTCTGTCCTCCTCTGTCCTCTTCTGTCTCTCCTCTGTCCTCCTCTGTCTCTCCTCTGTCCTCCTCTGTCCTCTTCTGTCCTCTGTCCTCCTCTGTCCTCCTCTGTCCTCCTCTGTCCTCCTCTGTCTCTCCTCTGTCCTCTGTCCTCCTCGGTCCTCTTCTGTCTCTCCTCTGTCCTCCTCTGTCCTCTTATGTCTCTCCTCTGTCCTCCTCTGTCCTCCTCTGTCTCTCCTCTGTCCTCCTCTGTCCTCGTCTGTCTCTCCTCTGTCCTCCTCTGTCCTCCTCTGTCTCTCCTCTGTCCTCTGTCCTCCTCTGTCCTCCTCTGTCTCTCCTCTGTCCTCTGTCCTCCTCGGTCCTCTTCTGTCTCTCCTCTGTCCTCCTCTGTCCTCCTCTGTCCTCCTCTGTCTCTCCTCTGTCTCTCCTCTGTCCTCCTCTGTCCTCTTCTGTCCTCTGTCCTCCTCTGTCCTCCTCTGTCCTCCTCTGTCTCTCCTCTGTCCTCCTCGGTCCTCTTCTGTCTCTCCTCTGTCCTCCTCTGTCCTCTTATGTCTCTCCTCTGTCCTCCTCTGTCCTCCTCTGTCTCTCCTCTGTCCTCCTCTGTCCTCCTCTGTCTTCCACTGTTCCACACACTGTCTGTACATTCTAATCATAATCACACTTTGGGCTCGTTAAGTCTGTTTAGTGCAGAATTAATCTGTAAATCTGAATGATCTGAAACCTCTGACATGAACACATTCCCCCATCCCTTCTGTATAAATAGTCAGTTTCAAACGAATCAAGCTATGACTGATCCACAGAATATGACGACATTTAGATTTCGATCTAAATCAAGCCAAATGTAATATTCCACTTCTATTATTCCATTAGTTAAATAAACCGTGCTGTTTGTCCCAACAGACAAAGACCATGACGTGTTGTCCTTGTCTTATTAGAAAACGAACACAACATACTTTTGTAAACACAAGTGAGTCACTGTTTGACTCTTTGGTGTGAATGCTCTTTTTTTACTTTTCTGTCTGACAAAGCTGATCTAAAGTTGTGATAGAGGCCAAAAATACATACATGTTAAAACTAGCGTGAGCCAGAAACCTGTGGTTACAACATTGGTTGTTATTACATACTTCCATGAAGGTGGAATTAAAGTTAGGTACCGCAGCTTTAATTTTCTATACTTCATGGACACAATAAATACTTTGAGGCGGTCTATCGGCTGTGCATGATCATAGATCTAGATGGTTAATGGTTGAAGTGTATTTAAGGCTGAATATTGCTTATTTTTGTGGCTGAGTGGATAGCAAGTAAGTAAGTTTTTTTTTTTTTCACTCTCGCTTCTCAGCAAGAAGGTCCTGGGTTCGAATCTGTGTAGGTTTCCTCCGGGTGCTCCGGTTTCCCCTACCACTAAAAACATGCACAATAGGTCTGAATGTAAATGAGAGAGTGAATGGATGGTGTTCATTGGAGCTGATGGTCCAGTGTGTTCTGGACTCGCTTCTGTCATCACCGTGATGATTGGAACAATATCTGAACTCTGAACATTGTAAAGCGCTTAGGGTGACCTTGGTCTGTAAAATGCGCTATATAAATAAACATTACTTACTATGTATTTAGTGTGTATGTAGTATGTATGTATGTACTGTATGTAGTATGTATGTAGTATGTAGTATGTGTGTGTGAATGGCTCGGGGTCCATGTGGGAGGCCTGAGAGGTTCACCTTTGAGCACCGATACATGTTGCCTCCTCTCGCGGTAGTTGCGGATCTCGTTGGCCTCGGACTCTCGCAGCTCCACTTTGTCGTAGCCGTACCAGCCCAGCAGCTCGTTCATGGTGCTCTCTGCAAACGTCTGCGGAGGCAGAACAAGAGGCCACTTACACGACTGCTCCTGTGCAAAGTGTGGACTTCAGGCAAAACACAACCCCTGCTTTTATATAAGCTCCCAATTTTTATATTTATTCATACATTTTATAGTAATGCACCTACAAAGTTCCTCTCAAGGTATTTCTACACTTACAAAGAACATCCCTGGGCTCCTTCTGCTGCCAAAATATGTTAGTTGTTGTTGCTGTTAGAATTGTTAGTGGTTGTGTGACGCCATTTATTGTCATGGGTGTTTTCTATTTTCAAATGAAGACGTTATTATTCTCTACGGACCCCGATGAGAAACACCATAAGTCATAGTTGTGTGATTACAGCAGGATAAAAGGACAAATAAGGGCAGTAAGTTAGGCAATGACTCAAAAATCGCTCAACAGAGAAATGTGTGGAGATAAGTAGTGTGTGGAATCCATTTACGGGGCGCTTATTCTTTTAGTTAGAAAAAAAGTGAGGTATCTGGGTGTCTGATGTGGGCTCCGTGCACATCACAACACGAGAAATGCCACATACACAACAGCAGAACTACATAAGGTTTGTGTAACGTGAAGAGAGCAGAGAGACTTGTGGAACATGAAGTGGCAGGGGCATTTCCCAGAATCCTCTGCTCTGCTCTGCTGTTCTGGTGTCCGGTGTCCCGCTCTGGATCAGGTTACGGGCCCACGCACACACACACACACAGTCTATGATACACAAACACGCACTCACACAGCCGCACACACACATACAGTCTATAATACACACACACACAGTCTATGATACACACACACACACACACTCACACAGCTGCACACACACACACGCACTCACACAGCCGCACACACACATACAGTCTATGATACACACACACACACTCACACAGCTGCACACACACAGCTCACACAACTGTTGTCCTGACTAGACTGAAGCAGGAGAAAATAACACAACTTTTTTCTGATCAGTGGATTTTATTTCCGCCTGTGCTCCGGATTCAAAGTGCACAGCATCTACACGACGACGGAGAATTGTGTAGTTCTATCGCCCGGACAGTAGGGGGCAGTGGAACTTCACAACACGACACAGGCGACCCCCTGCAGTATATTCACTTCCTCAACAACATCCTCCTGGGGTCGCTGCAAAGACGTGAAGAAACAACATCATTCTGCACATTAACAGTAGCAGCAAAAATGGAAACTGAAACTTGGGCTTTGAGTAGTTTCGATTTGGACGAAGGAGTAGAATTCTCGTCTGTGAATCGATAGAAGCACATGTTGGCATTAGTCGACCCGCCGCCATTGTTGTTTACGTTTTTTCTCGGCTACTGCGCATGTCTCAAGCAGTGTATGGCCCCGTCCCAATACTCGCACTTCCACCCTTGCGCCCCTCATTTGCGCGTTCCCGATAAAGGGTGCGAGTAGAGGCTAGCATCTATCAATCAATCAATCAATCTTTATTTATAGGGCGCTTTTCCTGCACAGGGCAACACAAAGCGCCTCACAGTCCACACCACACAATGCACAAATCATCACCATTAAAATACAATTAAAAACACATATGTAATTAAAAAGCATTAAAATCACATAAGTAATTTAAAAACATAAAAATCACACAAGTAATTAAAAACAATAAAATAGTTAAAAACACAAAAAGTTACAACAATAAATAACAAGGTGTGTTAAAAAGATAAAATTCTCTAGTTGTATGCACGGGAAAAAAGAAAAGTCTTTAACATGGATTTGAACATTGACAGAGAGGCAGCCAGTCTCACATCCTCAGGAAGACTGTTCCAGACTTTAGCTGCATAAATCTGAAAAGCAGCCTCCCCCTGTCTAGTCCTGACTCTGGGCACTAACAGGAGTCCCGTCCCTGCGCTCCTCAGAGTCCGGGCTGGTTCATATGGGACTAGCATATCATGGATGTACTTTGGTGCAAGGCCATGGAGAGACTTGTACACCAGGAGAGCTGCTTTAAAGTCTATCCTCTGGGCCACGGGAAGCCAGTGCAGAGACCCGAGGACCGGACTAATGTGGTCGTACTTCCTGGTTCTAGTCAGGACTCGAGCTGCAGCATTTTGAATATACTGCAACTGTCTTACTGCATGTTTGGAGATACCTGTGAGCAGGCCATTGCAGTAATCCAGCCTACTGGAAACAAAAGAATGGATAAGAATCTCCAAGTCTGCCCTGGACACAATATTTTTAATTTTGGCAATATTTTTCAGATGATAAAAAGCTGCTGATGTTACCGATCCAATGTGGCTATTGAAGTTTAAGTCAGAGTCCATTATTACTCCCAGATTTCTGACCTTATTTAAGGGCCTTAGGGAGAGAGACTGAAGGTGACAAATGACGGTCTCTCTTTGTTTCTCGGGACCAAAGACAATCATTTCGGTTTTGTCCGCATTTAGCTGGAGAAAATTGCATTGCATCCACTCACTGATCCGCTGGATACAGCGAAGGAGTGAGTCCACCGGCCCATGCTCTCCTGCAGTCAGTGAGACATAGATCTGAGTGTCATCAGCGTAATTGTGGTAGGACACTTTCATACTTTGAATTAACTGACCTAATGGCAGCATGTAAATATTGAACAGGAGAGGTCCCAGAATCGACCCCTGTGGCACTCCGCAGGTCAGGGCCATATTATCTGAGACATAGTTTCCAATCTCCACACAATACTTCCTTTCTTCTAGATAGGACCTAAACCAGCTTAGGGCGGTACCAGCAACACCAACCCAGTCCTCCAGTCTCTGCATGAGAATCTCATGGTCAACGGTGTCGAAAGCGGCACTCAGATCTAACACTTTTCCTGCATCAGTGTTAAGCCGAATATCATTTGTTACCTTGACTAGAGCGGTCTCAGTACTGTGGTGTGGTCTAAAGCCAGACTGAAACATGTCAAATGAGTCATTAGATATTAAAAATTCAGTAAGTTGTTGGTAGGCAACTTTTTCAAGAATTTTTCCCATGAAAGGCAGATTTGAGATGGGACGGTAATTTTCAAGTACCGCAGCATCCAAACTGCTCTTTTTTAGGAGGGGCCTAATGACTGCCTTTTTCAGGGCCATTGGAAATGTTCCAGATAAAAAAGACATGTTTACTATTTGTGTCAATGAGGGTAATAGACTACACATAACAGACTTCAGAAATCTAGGAGGTAGTACATCCAGACTGCAGGTAGAGGAACTAAGACCTGTGATTATCTTTTTAACAGTTTCATCATTGACAGGTGCAAATTGAGCTAGCTCACAAAGCCTCACTGGATGTTGCATTGTTACTTGTGTTGTGGAGGTGATGGCATTTCTGATACCCTGAACCTTGTCTCTGAAGAACTGTGCAAACTCATTACACCTGGATTTGGAGTAGTGTTCTAATGGCAACTCAACAGGGGGGTTCGTTAATCTATTGATTGTTGAAAATAGAACACGCAGATTGTTGCTGCAGCCTTCAATAGTTTCAGAAAAGTATAATTCTCTTGTTCTACGTAGTACTCTGTTAAACTCACACAACTTCTCTTTTAAGAGTCTATAATCACCCTGGAGGTTGGACTTTCTCCACTTTCTCTCTGCTCTCCGGCACTCTTGCTTCTGTGCCCTGACCGGGCCTGCTTTTATCCATGGGGCTTTTTGCTTATTTGTGACCATTTTTACCTTCACAGGGGCAATGGCGTCCAGAACATTCAACACACTAGAGGTGACAGAGTTAAGCAGTTCATCTACAGTAGAACATGATGTGTTCTCAAAATGGATCATTCCCCGTGTTTTCATTTAAGTGTCTACTTCTAACAATTTCATATTTAGCGGGTGGTCTGGTAGCAAAACACATGTTAAAAAATACACAGAAATGATCCGACAGAGCAACATCAACTACATTAACTTTTGAAATATTCACCCCTTTCGTGATAAGCAGGTCCAAGGTGTGTCCTCTGCTATGGGTGGGGCCACTCACATGCTGAGTGAGGCCAAAGGATTCAAGTATGGAACTCAGCTCTTTTGCGTATCTGTCATTAACATTATCCACATGAATATTAAAATCGCCTATAATGACTAAACCATCAAAATCTGTGCACACAACTGAAAGCAACTCAGTGAAATGATCAGTGAAACTATGGCATGACTGTGGCGGCTTGTACACAACAATAATAAGAATGGAAGAAGATTTCTTTTGTTCTATTTTAAAAGAAACATACTCAAATGATGACAATTTCCCAAGAGACACTCTATGGGAGACAATACGATCTTTAAAAACTGCTGCTATGCCCCCCCCCTTTTATTTTCTCGTGTTTCATATTCAAATTTGAAATTTGGTGGTGAGGCTTCTATTAAAACTGCATCTCCTGTATTATGGTCAAGCCATGTTTCAGTCATAAACATAAAATCAAGATCATACGAACAGATAAAATTATTAATTAAAAATGATTTGTTGCATAGTGATCTGACATTAAGTAGAGCAAGGTTAAAATTAATATCAGTGTCAGTGGGTTTAGTTGATTGATTACAAAGAACTGGAATTAGATTTCCAGAGTTAAACCGTCTAACTGCTGTCCTTCTTTTAAATTTGTGTTTATTCAAGTTAAAACACATTTCTGAGCTGGTGCGAGGAACACACACAGTCTCTATTGGTTTAAAAAGTGAACTCTGTTGTACTTTGTTAAGTTCCAGATGCATAACTGAGTCAGCACAGTTCAGTGGCAGGACTGTCGTTACACTGCCAGACGGACAGGGGTCAGTGTTTGCACCACAGTACTCACCCGGTGCTGGTAAGGAAGAGGAGGAGGGGGGTGGTGGGGGCCGAGAAGCCTCAGATGTAAACAGTCACGCCCCCCTCGGGGAGCACTGAACAACATGGCGTAGGAAGTCCGTCAACAAACTGGTGCCGTATCTGTTCGGGTGCAGACCATCTGGACGATAGGCCACGTGACGCTTCCAGAACAGGCCAAAGTTGTTCACAAAAATAAAGTTAAAAGTGCTGCATGTAGACTGGAGCCACATGTTGA